CTGAGAGAATCACAACCATGTCGGTCTCTGCGGCGAGGATTTCTTCCGGCGGTGGTGGCGATGCGGTTCCAAGGAATCTAGAGGACCGAGTCATATTTTTTTTTGGTGTTTGGAGAGAATAAGGAAATGTGAAGATTGAGAAGGAAGAAAGGAGAAAGTATTGTTTTGAAAGGAAGATGAAAATCTGATCCAAGTTGTAATAGAGACACACATACACATGTATACTTATATATACATATGTCCCTAATTGCATTTTTAAAATAAAGATAATAAATAAAATCACTACTAAATTTAAATCCATGTCATATCGGCTGAAAAGGTTGTATGAATAAGAAAACGCAGTTTATACAACTTTACGAAAATAAAAGATGAGATTGAAGTATCCACAAAGCCAAACATTTTTTTGAATCTTTGATTAGGGTAAACCGTGAAATACTGGATTTTTTGTTTTTAATTCAACCTTGATGTTTTAAAATCTTCATATTGCAAGAACCAAAGTTTATTCGAGTGGTCTCAATTTTTTGATAGCTCAACCCGATGTTTTTTTTCCTAATATATCTAAAATATTTGTTGTGATTAAATCTTGGAAACATACGTCAACGTAGATACGGGGTGAAGATTAGATATTAGTTTTATTATGCGATCTAAAAAAAATCTTGTATTAGAAAATTGTTTTGGAAATATCGTAATCGTATAGAACAAAAAGTATAATAAGAATCAAACTGACGTATATAATTAGAAAACCAAGCAGAGAAAAAGATGGGTAGGTGTGGGCAGTCTTTATAGGTTCAGTTTGACGAACTCATTATCAAAAGGTATAAGCATAGACGACTACTTTCTTTCCTAAACCTACTTCGATTAGACTGTTCTGTATAATTGTTCTCTTCATTTCTGTTTTATATACGATCCACTATTTTATTTAATTAATGACATCGAGAAGAATCTCTTCAAACCAAAAAGGGCATAACAGTTGAGATTTCAGAAAAATATGGAATTGTTGACAGCTGGTTCCGAAGGTGGATTCAGTGGATTTCGAAGTTCTTGCAACCTTATCTAGTTTTCTTTAAATATTGATCTTCAATGCTAGAGAATTTGTATGTGAAGCTATTTGATTTAGTTAAACTCAGTAGCAATAGTAGTATGAGATTTATTTCCCTAACAGTTTTTGGTATGGATCTACAATATGTTTTGGATTTTGTCTAAATGTAGGCGGGATCTTTGTAAGTATATATCAATTTTCAGAATCTTTGAAATGGATGTACGTGTCCTCAAATAGATTAATATTTTATCATATAGCATTAACGGCAGGTAACACCCATCCACGTGTGTGCATAAAGTGTTGGTGTTTCTAGACTCTAGTCATACTAATTATAAATTCAATTTTCATGCGTTGGTTTTTTTAAAGAATTTTCTGACTTATAATTGTGAAGGAAATAAAGTTTGAAATAAATACTGATATGTTTTGAAGCAGAAATCAAACCAACGATTCAAGTATAAACTTCATTACTTGAATATCATAAGATTTATTAGAGTTGATCCGTCTTGGGTGGGAGAGAATCAGAGAGCAAGATGGATGGAACTTGCAAGCATAAAAAACTCTGAAAAATAAAAAGTACACTCGAAATGGAATCTCTTTTGTGTGAATACGTGTGTTGTGAATCTTGACGTCGTGTACATGTAACCAAAAAAGGTAAGAAGCAAATAGAGTTAGTAAACCAATAATTAAAATAAGAAAACATTCGCACACAGGTTAAAAAACCCAGCAATAATGCAAACTGGAAGCATCCATTATTAGACGTGAAAAGTGTAAAAAAAAATAATGGAGACTCGAAGAATCAATTATATGATGGAGAGGAGCATCAATTATATGATTGATAGGAGCATCAATTATCCATAGTTTAAATAAAGCCAACTTATAGATTATCAATTGACACAAATAAAGATGCTCTATTTGTTATTCTTTTTGTCATATTGTTTTCACTGTTGTTTTAGAAAGAAAAATATCAGACTGAAAATAAGACCAGTTACGGAAGTACGGAACATATAATCACCCTAACCTCAAGCTCGAGAGACATAGTGTGTCTTAACTCTTCTTTCTTTAACATTGGATCTTCAGATTTTCGCCAAACCTCAAAACTTATCCTGAAGGTTTAGAAGTATGTACAAGTGTCTAAAATTTAAACTTTCCATTTTTAGCTTTATGAACAAACACCGACTACAACGACTAGATTTATCTTTTGACATATAATATGATAAGAGTCCATGCGATCCCAATTCCTAAGTAGCCATATATTACTTATCCATATAGCAAATGTTTTGAATCCACTACAAAGATGAAAGAGAAGTGGTAGTTTTGGATTCTGTTGAAGTATCAGCGCGAAGGTTGACAAAAAAATATAAAGAAAGCACATAAAGCCAGTTTGAGACTTGAAGAGTTGAATATGCAGATCAATAACGAGTCAAAATCATGCCTCATCCTTGTTGCGTGTACTATTTGTTTATTGTATCATGTGTCCATGTTGATAATAACGCAAGCCATATCATGTCGGTGCGCAAACTTGTGTTGACTTTTTGGGTCATGAACATTACATTTCAAAACTATATATATGCACATGACGTCATAAAACGATCGATGCAATCACCATGCCGTTATTATAGAAAAATGATACTATGGGTGGAAAAATCATTTCCCTTTATGTATATAGTCGTGTAGATAATAGATTGAATATTAAGTTTTTTTTCATCCTTCAATTTGTAAATCATTCTTTTCCATGTGAAATTAAATAATGCGTCTCAGTTGGCTTTTTCGGTTTCGGTTCATTTCTTTGTTAATTTGATTTAGATTGAATAATGCTATATCTAATGGGCTGTAACTAAGGCCCAAGTAATAGCTGAGGCCCACGAATATCAAATTATAGTAAAACCCTTGAACCGTCGTGGAAGCTCTTCACGATCCCAACAATGGCGGCTGCGAAGGAGATCCTGACACGACGACCAGTGGCGGCGATGATAAGGCTGACGGTTCCGGCTGGAGGAGCACGGCCATCACCGCCGGTGGGTCCGGCTCTGGGTCAGTACAGGCTCAACCTGATGGCCTTCTGCAAGGACTTCAACGCACGGACTCAAAAGTACAAACCGGACACTCCGATGTCCGTCACGATAACGGCGTTCAAGGACAACTCCTTCGAATTCACCGTCAAATCGCCGACTGTGTCGTGGTACATCAAGAAAGCGGCCGGAGTCGACAAAGGCAGCACGCGTCCGGGGCATTTGAACGTGACGACGCTCTCGGTGAGACACGTGTACGAGATCGCCAAGGTGAAGCAGTCGGATCCGTTTTGTCAGTACATGCCGCTGGAATCGATCTGCAAATCTATCATCGGTACTGCTAATTCCATGGGGATCAAGATCGTTAAGGATTTGGAGTGATTTAGGCATTTTTTTTCCTTTGTGTGTTTCTGATGAAATTTGTGAAATGTGGAATCAATCTGCTGCTTTGGAAATGGTGTTTTGTGTTTGAATAAACGTAAAAACATGAGTGTCAGATTAATTTACAGAATGTTTTCTGTTTGGTTTACTACATTTCTCGTTTCAGTGGATAATTGAGCTTCAAATTGAGAATCAAAATTATAGATTGAGTTTATGGAGGAAAGAGGAAACAGAAAGATTCAATTTTGCTCAGGAATCGTCTTAAACTGTTATTAGTAAAATATTGATCGTTTGAAGAACTTGAAAGATGCAGAGTTTGTGCGTTGGGGCTGTAGAAACTGAATCGTAAGAATTAGTAAGCAGAGTAATGTAAAGTTGGCTCCTTTATCTAGCAAACCAGATTCTGTTCTCGTGAAGGAAGAAGCTTTTGATCGTGAAATCGATAATGCTTTCTTTTGCGGGGAATTGTGTTTTCAAAGTTCAGTGATTTGAAGGAGGGATTGTGATAATTGTGACTACCAACTGTTGGATGAAATGTCCGGCTCGGTTAAGTTGCATCTGACCAACATTTGGGAGTAAACCGGTTCTATGAAAGTATTGAATTTTGGTGGATATCACTGAATATGTTTTGGTCAAGTAATAAAGGCATTGACTTTTGGCCCCCATGAGAAAGAAGAAGAAGACGACACCTGACCGGAGCAATAATAACTCAACAACTCTTCAATGGAAGGGGCAAAATAGGGAGAATTTGACCAAAAAAGTTTAAATCGGGAAAATCTGAAGCAACCCATTGATTAAAAAAAAAACACAGAAAAGAGCAAAAAGAGGAGAGAGTCTTACGTTTTCAGGGCCACACGCAATCTCAGTGCCATTCCTCTCTTTGTCTCTCTCTCTCTGTTCCTAGAAAGGGAAGCTTCTTCTCGCAAAGATCCAATTTTTACGATCGCGGTGGAGATATGTCGTGTTCATCCTCGTCTGGATCAGAAGGAGAAGAAGAAGGTTTCGATTCTTACCGGAAAGGTGGCTATCACGCCGTCAGGATCGGCGATCCTTTTTCCGGCGGTCGCTACATCGCCCAGCGAAAGCTCGGTTGGGGTCAATTCTCCACCGTCTGGCTTGCCTACGATACTCTCACCTCCGTACGCATCTCTCTCTCTCTTGCCTCCTTCCATTTCTATTGCTTCCCATCGCAATGCTGTAAACATCTGGGCTTTGATCTGTTTCATTTCTCATCTGAGAGTTTATCTCTGAAAAAATCGAGATCGAATCACATTCCAAATTCACTGTAGAAATCAAAAGGCTCTTCCTTTATACAATACGCATCTGTGAAACTCACAAGTCTTCTAGATTTTGAAATTGCGGATCATAATCCTAGATTTGGCACTGTAGTGAACCAGTTTAGCAGATTTGTTTGCTCAAAACGAATGCGTATCAAATTGTTCTGGAATCTCTAATCATTAGGACGATCATTGTTGATATAAAGTCTGTTGCTTTGTATGTGTTTCTTTGCAGAGCTATGTTGCTTTGAAGATTCAGAAGAGCGCACAGCAGTTCGCTCAAGCCGCACTTCACGAAATCGAGTTTCTCTCAGCTGCTGCAGACGGAGATGTCGCCAACACCAAATGCGTCGTTCGTCTCATCGACCATTTCAAGCACGCAGGTCCCAACGGGCAGCATCTATGCATGGTGCTTGAGTTTCTTGGCGACAGCTTACTCCGTTTGATCAGATACAACCGTTACAAAGGTCTGAAACTTGATAAAGTCAGGGAGATTTGCAGATGTATACTCACAGGTTTGGATTACTTGCACCGTGAGCTCGGTATGATCCACTCCGACTTAAAACCTGAGAACATTCTTCTCTCTTCCACCATTGATCCTGCCAAAGATCCAGTCAGATCCGGACTAACTCCGATACTAGAAAAGCCGGAAGGGAACGCGAACGGCGGTGGTGGTGCATCGGCGATGAATCTGATTGAGAAGAAGTTGAAGAGGAGAGCGAAGAGAGCGGTTGCTAAGATATCAGAGAGGAGAGTTTCAATGTATGGTGCTGTAGGTGAAGAGGAAGCATCGTCGAAGAGTGAGAGATGTCTTGATGGGATTGATATGAGATGTAAAGTGGTTGACTTTGGCAACGCTTGTTGGGCTGATAAACAGTTTGCGGAAGAGATACAGACGAGACAGTACCGAGCTCCTGAAGTGATCCTGAAGTCTGGTTACTCTTTCTCTGTTGATATGTGGTCTTTTGGTTGTACTGCTTTCGAGCTTGTCACAGGGGATATGCTGTTTGCTCCTAAAGAGGGGAATGGTTATGGAGAAGACGAGGTATGATCTGAATCTAAACCCTAAGAGTTTGTCTTTTCTTCTTCTTGTTCTTTTGTCAAATTCTTGATGTGGTTTTGGATTTAGGACCATCTTGCTCTTATGATGGAACTTCTTGGGAAGATGCCTCGAAAGGTATGTTCTTTTTGGTTTATGTTGTGTGGCTATTGGTTGTTTATTGATGTGGTTGATGGATGATGGAGCAGATTGCGATTGGAGGAGCGAAGTCAAAAGACTATTTTGATAGGCATGGGGATTTGAAGAGAATCAGGAGGTTGAAGTATTGGCCACTGGATAGGTTACTGGTAGATAAATACAAGATTCCGGAAGCAGAAGCGAAGGAGTTGGCCGAGTTTCTGAGTCCGATTCTGGAGTTTGCGCCGGAGAAACGACCGACTGCGCAACAGTGCTTGGAACATCCGTGGATGAATGTTGTAAGTACACAGAAGAGCAATGCAGATAATGTAGAGTCCCAAATGAATAACTTGCATATCAAAGGGTGAAAGAAAGAACAAAACTTTGTCTTTTGTTTTTGATCTTTTTTTTTTTTTTTGGTTTCATACCTTTGTTCGTGTTTTCTTTTTGGATAACTTTATGTTTTTTTTATGGTTACTTTTTATTTATTTGGGTTTAACTGTTCTCTGTATTTTTGGGGAGCTATGATTTATATTATTTGATTTAACCATCGATTTCATTTGCTGCTTACATATAAAGACCTGCGTTGTAGTGAATGAGTTGACCAACAAAATAGCAGTCAAAATTTATATAGATTTTATTATCAAATCAAATGAAAAAAATTATTACTCGTAAAATAGTCGGTTTATAAAGTAAAATTTCCTAAAAGGACGACTATATATAAAAGCAAGAGTTCACCGCCCTTATAAAAACAAGGACTATTATTCCTACCCAAAAAGCTACTTGGAAAAATATTGAAAAACGAAGAGATTATGGCAGAAGAAGCGATACTAGGGTACCTGGAGAGCAATGAGCAGATCCCGGATTCGCGTCAGTTCTCTGCCGAGCACAACTTTGACCACGATAGTGAAGTCTGTAACGTCATCAAAAGCCTCCTGTGTGATAGTCTCATAGAGGCTCAGGTACTCGTATTTATGATCTTATATATAGATCTTGTATCCGTCTCCGTGCGCTTGAAAATCTCGTTTATTAGGCTTAATACAGTATCTGGTTGAATTTATAGTATGCGGAGAAGAGAAGAAAACTGATAGGGGTAATCGAGTTAATAAGGGTTTAGTGAGTTGTTTGCTTAACAAGTTTCAGTTTGATGGTTAACTATTTATACAGGGAATTAAAGGGAAGGCATGTGTTTTACTTGAAGAAGGGATGAAATATGCTCAACAAGGATCACCAGAGGTACAACTTTTCTTAGCAGTGCCGGAAGAAGGAAGCATATCAGTGGTTGAGCTCAAGGTGATGATCACAATAGATATGATTTATTATATATGTATAGTGGAATTTGCTAAGTCAAGCTTTTAAAAAAAAAACGTCTTTAAAACTCTTGCTATTACAGGAAAGGCTAGGTGACTCGTACAGCAATTTTTCATGGAAGGCTAAAGAAAACAAGTGGGTGGAATTGACAGGAAACCGAGTCTCGAGGAAGGTTCAACATGTAGAAGATAAAGTGAGAGGACTGCTTTTACAGATACAAGAAGGGGAGGTTTGTGCCATGCCATGCATGTCATTTTAGTTTAAATAGAGTTCTATGTTGCGTTTGCCTTCATGTTTGGTATTCATTCAAGTGTCCCTTTCTTACCCTTCAGGAAATTGACGAAGCCAGTATCAATGTTCTTGAACGTAGACAACTCATAAAATCAAAGTAAATTGATTCCACTTTTTTTTCCTGTACCGTTTCTTTTGTGAGATTTCTTTTATCAAGATCTTATATCCTCTCTACTTCTTAGGACATGGAACGCTTATATAGCCATTACTAAAGGTCCTAAGTATGCTCCCGAGAGACCCAAGCTCGCCACCGATTTGACTCGAGAAAATATAGCAAAGTTTGTCCTATATATTTCTTGCCTCTTTTTCAACTGTATAGGTAGAAAATATGCAATAATAGGGATTGTTACTTTAATCCTGCAGCTGGAAAGAGTTAAAGTTTAAGGAGTGTAACATCAATGCTAAAGGAGCGCCTGTTGAGGGTGGTCATCTTCACCCCCTTCTCAAGGTAACTCAAACTGAGAGCAAAAAATAGTTGTACCTCTCTAGTGTATAGAATTTTGGGTAAACTTATCATTTTTAACAAACTTCTTGACTTCTTGTGTGTCTCAGGTGCGGAAGCAATTCAAAGACATATTTGTTCAGATGGGGTGAGAGAGAGAGAGACTATTGGCACATACTATTGTAATATTCTCCATTTTTTTCTGTTGATGGTCATCAATATTAATGGTGAGCCTTGTGTGTTAACAGGTTTGAGGAGATGCCAACAAATAATTACGTGGAGAGCAGGTATTAAATTAGTTAAGGCTTAGAGGGAGATCTTAATTACTAGACACTTGTTCTTGCTATTCGTCGGCTGATCTAAACTTGTTTCCTATACAATGTAGCTTCTGGAATTTCGATGCATTGTTCCAGCCTCAGCAGCACCCTGCTCGTGATTCTCACGACACCTTCTTCTTAAAAGGTTTTCAAATCTTGAGTGTTCTTAAAGTCACTGATTTTGTTTGGGACAGCTCTTTCTCGGTTCCTTCATCGTGACATCCCAATGACTAATTCTTTGAATGTTTAGATCCTTCTGAACCAAAGGCACTTCCAGAAGATTATGTTGAGAGGGTGAAACGTGTTCATGAGTCTGGTGGATATGGATCAAGAGGGTAAATTAAATGACTTGTATTGTCTCACCACTTACTGCCTCGTATTAATTTTTAATCACTCTTGACATGGCCTTTTTGCATTTGAAGGTATAATTGTGAGTGGAAGAGAGAAGAAGCAAACAAGAATCTTCTCCGTACTCACACAACAGCTGTCTCCGCTAGGATGCTTTATGCACTAGCACAGGTCTCACTAGACTCTTAGCATATTTATCGATTCAACTCTCAATCCATAACTTTGTTATGTTTCCATAACTAGACTTCTTTCTATCTCTCTCTCTGTAGAAGAAACCTTTTGTTTCCAAGAAGTACTTTTCGATTGACCGTGTGTTCAGAAACGAGCATGTTGATCGTACCCATCTGGCGGAGTTCCATCAAGTGGAAGGTATAGTAATAAGAATATAGGCTGAATGATTCATTTAGATGTAATGGTTACAATATATATAGTTACACGAGATTAGGGATTTCATAGTTACTAATCTAGCCTTTCCATATTTACACTCTACACGCCCCCTCAAGATGGAGGGAGATATCGAACTCCAATCTTGTTAAACAGCATGAGAAACCTCGTCCTTGGTAATGGTTTCGTTAGAGCATCGGCCAACTGATCGTGAGTGGAGAGATGAGTGACACGAAGAGCACCTGATTGTACATTTTCGCGGATGAAGTGATAATCGAGGGCCAAGTGTTTCATCCGCGAGTGAAAGATAGGATTAGCGCAAAGGTAGGTGGCTCCGACGTTATCACAATATATCACCGGTGCTGCGGGAAGAGTGACACCAAGATCTGTTAAGAGGGAGCATATCCATCGGATTTCAGAGGCCGTGTTGGCAACGGCACAGTACTCTGCTTCGGTTGAAGATCGTGCGACCCCTTTTTGTTTCTTTGAAGACCAGGCAATTGGTGTGTAGCCAAGATAAAGAATGTAGGCGTTGGTGGAGACGTAGTCAGTCGTATCTCCTGCCCAGTCTGCATCAGCAAAAGCATGGAGAGTGATCGGAGAGTCAGCTCGGAGGTAGATCCCATGGGATGGTGTTCCAGCCAGATAACGAAGCACACGCTTCGCGGCTTGCCAATGAACATCAGTGGGGCGATGCATAAACTGTGAGAGTTTATTCACAGCAAAAGCAATGTCGGGTCTTGTAAAGGACAAGTACTGCAGACTCCCAATTACCATCGATATTCAGTTGGTTCGGCGAGAGTCTTACCGGTGTTGAGAGTGAGTTTCGGAGATGGTGCCATTGGTGTTGTCACCGGTTTGCAATCCAACATCTTGGTCTTGCCGAGAAGGTCAACAATGTACTTCCTCTGCATTAAAAGTAGCCCTCACGGAGAACGAATGGCTTCAATTCCCAGAAAATAGCATAAGTCAGTGGGATCTTTGAATGAGAACCTGTTGGAGAGAGTAGTAATGACTTGCTGTACTACATCAGCGTTGCTGCCTGTGACAATTATGTCATCCACATAGACAAGGATGTACACCATCTTGCCTTGATGAATCCGTGTGAACACTGAGGTATCTGCAAGAGAGTTCGTGAAGCCAATGGTGAGTAGAAAATTCTTTAATTCCTGATACCATGCGCGTGGCGCTTGTTTGAGTCCGTAGAGAGCCTTGCGGAGTCGACAAACATGATCAGGACGATCCTTATCGATGAAACCCGCCGGTTGAGCCACATAGACTTCGTCGGTTAACGCTCCTTGGAGGAATGCATTATTCACATCCAGTTGTTTGATTGGCCAAGAACGACTCACCGCAAGCTGCAGTACAAGCCGAATTGTATCAGACTTCACCACCGGACTGAAGGTTTCTGCATAATCTACACCTTGTTGCTGTTTGAATCCTCGTGCGACAAATCTCGCCTTATACCTGTCAAGAATGCCAGAGGGAAGATATTTGAGAGTAAAGATCCACTTAGTGTCAATAACATGTTGATGAGGATGTGGTGGCACGAGATCGAAAGTGTGATTCCGAACTTGGGCATTGAATTCGTCTCCCATGGCATTTCTCCATTTGGGATCTCGCAAGGCTTGGTTCACCGTGGTCGGAATATAGGGTCTGGTTTTGGAAACGTTGAGGCTAAACTTTGTGAGGGGTTTGGTGATGTTGTTTTTGGAGCGAGTGGTCATTTGGTGAGTATTTTCCACCGGAGGTGGCGGTGGTGGTGCGGAATCGGAGGAGGAAACAGGCGGAGATTCCGAGTGTTCAGTATCGGGTGAAGATGGAGGAGTTGGACTTGTGACATTTGGGCTTTGTGGTGAAGGAGGATTTGGAGTTGGGCTATTTTGGTTAGGTGACAACTGGTCATTCGGAGATGGGCTATTTTGGTTTGTGTGAGGAAGCGAACCGGATGATGGGCTTGGTAAAGGATTCGGGCCCATATCTGTATTACCAATGTTACCTGTGTTTGGTGTGGTTCGCGGCGACGATGAATTCTCTGTCGGGTGAGAACCGGAGCTCGGGGGTGACGAAGGCACCGGCGGAGACGAAGAGTGACCTATGACGAGTGGCGGCGGACGAACGGGAACATAGGTAGCTGGGCAATAGGTTGGTGTTGGAGGAGATGGAGTCGTGTCCGTCGATTTCTCCGTGACGGCAAAGGGAAAGCTCGTTTCATCGAATGTGACATGTCGAGAGGTGTAGATCCGGCCAGATTTCCGATCGAGGCAGAGATATGCACTCTGGGTAAGTGAATAGCCAAGGAAGACGCAGTGAATTGAGCGATCCTCCAATTTGTGTTTTGTGTAAGGGCGCAGCCACGGGAAGCAGGAACATCCAAACACACATAGCTTAAGATAGTTTGGCGTTTGCTGGAAGAGCTTCTGGTATGGTGTTTCGTTACCGAGAACGGCCGTCGGCAGGCGATTGATAAGATAGACAGCGGTGGAGAAGGCGTATGTCCAGTAGCTTTTGGGCATCTTTGATTGACTGAGGAGGGTGAGACCAGTTTCCACGATATGGCGGTGTTTTCTCTCCGAGATTCCGTTGTGTTCTGGTGTGTGTGGCGGCGAGGTAAGATGGGAAATTCCATGGTCGGACAGGAAGCTGCGTAAGGCGATGAACTCACCACCATTATCAGAATAGAGTGTGGAGATTTTCTTCTGGAACCTATTCTCGACGAGGGATTTGAAGGCGATGAAGACTTTTTGACTTGGGACTTTTGTCGCAGCGGATAGAGCCAAGTATATCGGGTGTAATGGTCGACTATAACAAGGTAATAACGGAAGTTGTCAATAGAGATGAGAGGAGAAGACCAGACATCAGTGTAGAGGTATTCAAGAGGTTGAGTTGAGGTAATTGTGTTTGTGGAAAAAGGTAGTTTGTGTGTTTTATTAATAAGGCAATCCGAACAAGCAAATTGTGTTTGTAATGAAGAAAGAGGTAACTGAAACTGAGAAACAAGTGTTTTAAGAATCAAAGGAGAGGGATGGCCAAGTCTCGAGTGCCAGCTTTGAAAGTCTGTTTTTGGTGTAGAGGAAGCAGCAAAGGTGGAGATAGATGGAGGTGAAACCGGCCACTCGTATAGCTCATCTCTAGTCCTGCCTTGGAGCAATCGGGCCCCGTGCTCAGGTCCTTCACCTGAAAAGAAGCCGGAAAGAATTCCACAGAGACACTATTAGCATTACACAATCGGTAAACAGATATGAGGTTCTTTTTGAGGTCAGGGACACATAAGACATCTTTTAAGGCTAGGGAACGAGAAGGAGTTAAGAGTTTAGATGAACCAGTATGCGAGATGTGGAGAGCGGATCCGTCGGCAATGGTGACCTCTTCTCCACCGTGATATGGTTGGTGTAGGGAGAGGTTGTTGAGGTCCGTTGTCAGGTGGTGTGTGGCACCACTATCAAGAAGCCAATTGCTTGCAGGGTATGAGGGAGCTTGGACCATATTGGCTCTTGGCTGCCAAGGAGCGGAATATGGTTGCTGTGGGCGTGGCTGAGCTCCAGAAGCGCCACTGGGGAGTTGAATCTGTGAACAACGCCGGGCACTATGGCCGTAGACACCACAGATCTGACAGCGTCCTTGATAGCCACGCGGAGCGTTGCTGTCTGGACGAGTCTGAAACTGTTGTTGCTGCCATGTCTGATTGTTGTTGTTGTTGCGGTGGTGGTTGTTGTTGCGGTTGTGTCCACCACGGTTATTGTGATTATTGGAGCCACGGTACTGAGCTGCATTAGCAGAGACTGGGGTCGGAGCTGCAACAATTGCAGTTTGCAATTTGGCCTCGTAGTTGATCAACTTCTCATGGATCTCTGTGAGAGATGGAGTTGTGTCACGGCCTTCGATTTGGTCCACCACGGTTTTGTATTCTTATGGGAGTCCCTCAAGGACGAACTCCACTTAATCTTCCAGATCCACAGCTTTTCCAAGGAGAGCTAACTGATCGAAACGAGTGGTAAGTCCCTGGAAGTATTCGTTAATGGATTTTGTACCTTTAGTCCACTGTTTAAGTTGTTGTCTGAGTTGCTTGAGGTGACCCCTGCTTGGCTTGGCGTAGGTTGATGTCAAGATAGTCCAGATCTCGGCAGCAGTGTTGGCAGTGGAGAGCAGGGGCTGGATGGAGACGTTGATGGCACCAAGTAAGGCACTGAAGACAAGCTTGTCTTGGCGTTTCCACGTCGTGTAGAGGGGATTAACAGAGACAACGTTATCGGTGGTGATAGTGGGAGGCGGGACTTCAATCGATCCGTCGAGGTAGCCGGCTAGATCATAGCCGTCAAAGAGAGCATGGACTTGCCTGCTCCACATGATGAAGTTGGTGGCCGTGAGTTTGGTTACGTTGGACATGTTAACATGAACAATCGAAACAGAGTTAGAAACCACAACGGTTTCACTGGATTCAGTCCACATAGTCGAGAAAAAGTTTGAGAGATTTGAAAATAAGGGAGGCGGCTGTTTTTGAGATTAGGTATCGCTAATGCTCTGATACCAAATAAGAATATAGGCTGAATGATTCATTTAGATGTAATGGTTACAATATATATAGTTACACGAGATTAGGGATTTCATAGTTACTAATCTAGCCTTTCCATATTTACACTCTACAATAGTAGTATGAATTGGCAGATGTTGTCGTAAATTTTCAAAGCTAGGATCATGTTCTATCAAAAACATTATTGAATTTGCTTGTTATATAAGTTAAGTCAAATGTCGTTGATCAGGTTTGATATGTGACCGGGGACTTTCACTGGGAAACCTGCTTGGTGTGTTAAAAGAATTCTTCTCACGCTTAGGGATGTCAAACTTGACGTTCAAGCCAGCTTACAACCCGTACACAGAACCAAGCGTGGAGATTTTCGGGTAACTAATTTGTGAAAGCTATATTATAATCTTGTGAAATGCATAAAACCGATCGAGAGACAAAAAAAAAAAGATAATTAAACTTGGCTTGTTACTGGATTTCAGCTACCATGAAGGTTTAAAGAAGTCGGTGGAGCTTGGAAACTCTGGAATGTTCAGACCCGAAATGCTTCGACCGATGGGCTTCCCTGAGGATGTCCGAGTCATAGCTTGGGGTCTTTCTCTTGAAAGGTACTGTATCAATTTTTATTTATTTCCCCCCCACAAACATATCATAATTCTCAATACTTGATGCAATCGTGAAGAAATGACATAGAGTAGATACATCTGAATCATTCGTTAAAGATCAATACTTGATGCAATCGTGAAGAAATGACATAGATGGATCATCAAAAACCCTTTTATTAAAAAAATATGCATCCTCATACTCAATTTCAAAATCACACGAATTCTCATGATTAGCATCAGCTCAAGAAGCAACATTGATATGAACAATCTATGGATTATTTGATAAGGTGATCGTTGAGAAAAAGAGATTACACAGCATTGAAACAAGAAGAATCATAAATCAGATAATGAAATATAAGAAAACAGAGTGCCAGCTGGTGAATGATATGTCACAGCGTTGAAGTTACCTTGTCATGTTGGTTTCTCTGGAGAATAAAAGAGAAAGAAAGAGAAACAGAGGAGGGAAGAGGAGAGAGTAGAAGAAGGATAATAACTAGGGTTTGGAGAGGGAAAGAAGGAGAGAAAATGGTAATGGAGAAGAGAAGACAAATTTGTTCCAATTTCAATTTTATATGTAAACCCTACAAATTTACTCTCTCCTTCGTCTCTTTATTTAAGTATCACGTAAATCCTTTTATAATTTCATTTTGCTTTTTTACAGTTATCTCTCTTTCATGACATTGACAATGTGTGTGATTTCATTTCGTAGAAGAAAAAGAGTTCAAATAGAAACTCTCATTCTTAGTCAATTCATATTTGAAAGAATCTGTGTCTACTGAAAAAGATTCCAGAAAATAATATTATTTCAAGAAGACAAAGCAATGATATTTCAAGAAGACAAAGTAATGATATTTGTGTGCTTTATGACCATAGTCCAAATAGACCATAGTCAAACCAAACCTCTCTGTAATCTGAGACCACCCCTAATCCACAAAGAACACACACAAGACAGTACTCCTCCATCTCTAGCAATCGCATAGACTGTTTTTATGCTTCCACCCGGGTCTTCTCGACCTCGGCCTCCTCATCCCGGCCGATGCCCAGATCCTCGACCCCATGAGAGACCAAGCCTTTGAAGGCTCCCAATATACAAGTTACTATCGCCAGTGGAATTATCAGATAGAAGTGGCTGTTGCATTTATCTAAGGCAACAACAAACGAAGCTGCCAAGAATCCCCCGGCGAAACCATAATCTTCACTAGTACCAGACGCAGCCATAAGCATCAGAAGCAAGAGATAAAAACCAGTAGAAAAAGCCACAACTCCAATCGCTGGTTTCTTTTCACCTTCCAAGAATTTGCAGAGCACCACAAAGAAAACTATAGCAAAAATCTTCACAACATGCTTTATTGTAGCTCTGAAACAAGGGTGTTTTTTTACCCTCTTCTTAGGTATGTTGACCCTGATGGTCCATATGTCTCTTGTTCTGCGGAGTATGTAAATCGCATAAACCAAGACAGGGCAAAATAATAGTACCCCTAAGCCAATACCGATGAAACACGGATATTCTGGTGTAAGATATAACCCTTATATATTCCAAAGAAATATCCGACGAAAGTCACACATGATGTTGCTAAAACCATGAAGGATAAGAAGTATCTGTTGGTGCAGGCATAATTGCGGACTGTTAAAAGAAAGTTCTCAATGGCATCCATGTCCGTTGACAAGGAGACGGAGAAGATAGGAAGAAGAAGATAAACCCTAAAATTCAAAAACCCTGTGACGAAAATGATAAACCGTACGAAGAAAATTCGAAGAAGAAATTGTGAATTTGTTTAAATCAAAAAGAAAGAACAAGTGCTTAAATAAGGGATGCTGTAAGAAAACGTGAAAAAAAAAAGGAAAACTTCTCCACCGCTTTCCTTTTCATTATTATGTTAGTTTTATTGGAAGAGCTGCATAAAAAGGAAATTAATTAGACCTAGTTTACTTTTCTAGTTTTAAGCTAAAGTTAAATAGTCGTATCATTAAACCTAGTTTCCTTTTTTAAGTTTTAGTCGGTTTAGGTTTTGCTTTTCTTATATACCGAGTTGTATATTCAGAACGATTCATTCAGAACGATTAAAGAGTTTACGCAGCATTGAATCATAAATCAGATAATGAAATATAAGAAAACAAACAATTCGATTTCTTTCTAGTTTTGTTTTTGTTTTTTTACAAGGTGAAGGAATTGTCACAGCTTTGAAGTTACCTTGTCATGTCATGTCGGTTTCTCTCTGGAAAATGAAAGAGACTTGTCATAAGAAGAAAGTCCAAGGTGAAGATGAACATCCACAACCATCAGTTTCACGCCAGCCAAATGTTGGAGCGGTAATAACAGTATATTTATAATCTTTCTTTACAAATATTATGGGTTTTGTAAGTTAGGGACTTGTCTTGTACAGGAATCTCATGGAGTTTTTCATACAAGTACCAATGAAGTTATACCTTCAAAACAAAAAAAAAAAAGTTATACCTTCAACAATGTTTCGACAGCATGAACGGAACAAGATGGAAGCTAGGAGAAGTGAAACTTAATTAGGGGTTGGTGATGTGAAACATGAAACCCTTAAGGAACATATCACATGTTAGTAAATCAGATTAAATGGATCGATGAGAAACCCTTAAGGAACAAATCAGAGTAAATGCATCTGAATCATTCGTTCAAGATCGATACTTGAAATCATGAAGAAATGACATAATTTCCTTTGAATACACACACACACACATTGTAACCCTTATTCAAAACGACCATACATTAATAAAACGACGTCATATGAGATTGCTGATAAAGAAGAACCCTCTCTCTCAAAAAGAGTCTTCTCTTCACACGAGCTTTCCCTCCTTCTGATCTCTTCTTCTTCCTCGTTAATTAGAGCAACTGGAACTCCCAATATCAATTCGCCGGTGATTCGGTCGGATAATTCGGAGATGAAGACTATCAAGCCATTGCCTGAAGGTGTTCGTCACTCCATGCGCTCCGGAATTATCATGTTCGACATGGCGAGGGTCGTCGAGGAACTCGTCTTCAACAGTCTCGACGCTGGTGCCACCAAGGTCTCCAAAATCAAATCCATTTGCGTCGATTTCTTCTGGTTTTGGAACGTTTTTGGAATTCAGCTGATTCTCGTCTCGATTTCCAGGTCTCTATCTTTCTGGGTGTCGTTACGTGCTCTTTGAAGGTTGTGGATGATGGTGAGTGTATTACCTCCACGAATTTCTCACCTTTGTGCGAATGAATTGAATGATTGAGTCTTAATTTGGGAAATATTGATTGATTTGGATTTCAGGATCAGGCGTTTCCAGAGATGATTTGGTTTTATTGGGAGAAAGATATGGTAAGTTTTGTCCTCTCATAAAGGAAGAGTCTTTAATTGTGTTAGTTTTTTGATTGAGAAACTTATCATGAGTGAAATGTGCGTAAACAGCTACGTCCAAGTTTCACGACTTCTCAGATGAGGAGAGAGCAAGTGAAAGTTTTGGATTCCGAGGAGAGGCCTTAGCTTCGATATCAGATATCTCTTTACTGGAAATCACGACGAAGGCTACTGGGAGGCCTAATGGTTATCGGAAGGTTATGAAGGTATGTGATTGACATTTTTGATGCAACTCAACACTCCTACATAATCTGCCTATGGTTTTAAACTTCCCACAACGCATTTCAGGGATCCAAGTGTTTACATCTAGGAATTGATGATGGTAGAAGAGACTCTGGCACGACTGGTAACGTGTTCATTTCTCACCATTACGTTTTTCTATCAAATTGGTGAAAGTGGAGCTTGAAAGTAGAATTTTCGAAAACGTTTTGTCCTTTCTTATGGAGAAACGTGTCTGCTCAGTTTTTGTTTACATTGGCAAGTGGCATGATTAAACTTCTGATGTTGATGCAGTTACTGTCCGGGATCTATTTTACAATCAACCAGTGAGACAAAAATATCTGAAATCCAGGTTCGTTTCTTAGAGACTTAGACATCCGCATTCATCTTCGCCTTCTCTGAAGTTTTCTCTTTGCCTAACTTCATTTAACTCTTTTTTGCAACGGAAGCCCCAAGAAAGTTTTGGACTCTGTAACGAAGTGTGTTTTCCGGATTGCTCTTGTGCATTCTAATGTGTCGTTCAGTGTTCTTGATGTTGAAAGGTGAGTTCTTTCTTTCTTTTAAAGATCCTTATGTGTTTCCTTCAGCCGTTCTGATAGTTTACTTTGTTGCAGTGATGCAAAGCTTATCCAAATCAATCCTTCTTCTTCAGCATTCTCACTACTGATGAGAGATGCAGGGACAGAGGCTTCGAATTCGCTTTCCAGAGTAAACGTTACAGATGGCGTGCTGAACGTCTCTGGGTATATCTCTGGTCCTGGAGATAGTTTCAAGGTATGTTACTTGCTCCACTTATGGGCTTCAGAATTATTTCCCTTGTTCGCTAGATTGTTAACTTTTAGCCTTACCTTTCTGGTATTGTTGTAATACTTTCCTTGCAGGCCTTGCAGTATATATGTATCCTTATATCTGCATCTTCTTATGTGCACCTACTATCTTCTGCGGTTCAAGTTAGGTAGTTTCTGTATGTGGTTGTATGACCTTCACAACGACAGATATCAATTCAAGGTTTATAAGCAAAGGTCCCATACACAAGCTTCTGAACAACTTGGCTGCAAGTTTTGAGTGCAAAAAAGATGACTGGAGGCCTACAGATGGGCTAAAAGCAGGAATACGTAATAGACTTCAGTCCAACCCTGGCTACATTTTGTGCATAACATGTCCACGCCATCTCTATGACTTCTCGTTTGAGCCATCAAAGACAAACGTTGAGTTCAAGGTATCAGAGTTTTCTTGTGATCTAAATTTAGTTAGGTTTTTGAAATTTTAATGATTGCCTATATCTCTATCTGTGGCAGAATTGGGAACCTGTACTTGGCTTCATAGAACGAATCGTCCTAGCCAACTGGAAGAAAGATACAAGTCTTGGTATGCCACGCTTTTGTCATGCTCTGATATAGTATCCCTAATATCTTGTGATAGTCTTGGTTTTCAATGTTTTCTCACTTTTTTTTTCCTTAGAACTTTTTGATGGAGGAGCTGATCTACTGGCAAAAGGTGATAGACACGACGTGCTTGATGACATGATTAGACTTCAAAAAGGTACACAAATCTTCATACTGTACCATTATATAACATCAATTCTTCTTCACTGGAACGGGACAGCATCTATTGGTCATCCCTGTTATATTCTCAGGCAGATAAATGCTTCATTTTCTGGATGCAGACTGGCCAGAAGCTATGGAACCCACAAGAAAGAAACTCAAGAGAAGTGATGATCAGGCACCTTGTAGTGATATAAAAAAAGATGGTGATTATTTCTCTCAAGGAAAGGATGAAGGGTCTGAATCAGTCATGCCAATGATACTTAATGACAAACAAAGTAGCTCGCTGATTCGTGTCCTAGAGACTAGAGAGACCAGAGAAGGTGGTTCTTACTGTGATGTTTTTTCTGATACTCTTGGAGTTCATGGAATGGCCACGACTCCTAATTGTTCCCTAGAGAGTTCATGGCAGGATACTGACTGGTTTACTCCACACCGTTCTTCAGACAGGGGAAGTGTTGGAATTGGAGAAGATTTTAACATCAGCCCTATAGATACTGCGGAATTTTGTTCTTATGGAAACAATTTTTTCAGGACAAAGTGCTTTTCCTCTGTCAATGTGGGCAACTCTGATGCTGATAGTCTTTTCTTGAGTTCTGAGTGGTCTCCAATGTTCTCCATGCCTCCTTCTGCGACCAATTGGGAGTCTAATAAGCAGACAGGGAGTTTGAGATTGGAAAGGATGCCTGACCCGGATCATTTCAGTGCAGCTAGTAACATCAAATTTGATCACGAGGTCACACCTCAAATGCATTGCCGAGAAATCTGCACAGATTCTTTCACAGATATTCAGAACTGCTCTCAGCCAGATGGAATAAAGTGCAAGTCATCGTGGGGACATGCAGATAATGTGGCTATTGAAGAAGATAGTGTCAGGAAGGACAAGTTCAGTTATAGGGATGGCACACAGAAAAACTTTGGTAAACAAATGTCAAGAAGAAGCCACTCTGCTCCTCCATTTCATCGAGAGAAAAAGAGATTTGTCAGCTTAAGCTGTAGATCAGACACAAAATTAAAGAAATCCGATCCATCAGGTTCATTCTTCTGGTCTTTTTTCGGATGCGTTTTTTGTTGTTACTGCTGTTGGTTTAGTTTTGGGAATGTGGTAGAAAAGAATTTAATGACGTAGAAATTTCTGCAGAATTTGATGATTTGGAGTGTTTGACACAACCTTGTGATGCATCTCATATGCATACTAAGGGCAAAATCCTTGATGATGTGTCGTATGACCACATAAAAGAGACAGAAAAAAGATTGACTTCTGGCTCGGACTTAAAAGCATCTGCTGGAAACAGGACTGTGAACATGGAGACCCAAGGTGAAGGTGGAGACGAAGGTAACTACTAATCTTAAATTAGATGTGCGTCTCTTTAGTAGATAAATCATCTCCAAGACACTGGGTAGACATAATATTTTGTATCTCCCTGTTCATTGTAGTTGTGAATCGAAATGTTATCTTCACGATGTTTCCTTTTTTCTTATCTATCTTGCAGACTTCAGCTCAGAGGAAAGTCTGGATCCAATTAAATCTACAACGAAATGGCGCCATAATTGTTCTGTCTCTCAGGTTAAGCAAATTGCAAGAATTTTTTTTGCCTAATAGACTGACTCTCTGTTTCCATGGAAGACAACTGACATCCATAATATTTCCATTTTTGTGCAGGTTGCGAAGGATTCACACGAGCTTCATGATCAAGATTGTGTGCTTGATATATGTTCAGGACTTTTGCACATACGATCTGATGAATCCTTGGTTCCTGGATCTATAAATAGACACTCCCTTGAACATGCCAAGGTTCTACAACAGGTTGACAAAAAATACATCCCAATTGTTGCTTGTGGAACAGTTGCCATCGTTGATCAGGTCCAATCCTATATCATCTCTTTTGTCTCATTTATCTCAAGTTTTAGACACTTTATCTGAATATGGTTAAGAATTATGTTCAAACTAGGACACCGTATGTTGTGGAAACTATTGCTCTTAATTAATGTCTTGCTAGAAGTTGATCTGAGGTTTCATTTTTTAATACAGCATGCTGCTGATGAAAGAATTCGTTTGGAAGAGCTGCATAAAAAGGTAAGAACATTGTGGAACCTCAATTTTATGAAACTACTTTTCTAGTTATGTATTGTGCTCTTATCAAGTGACAAAACAATTGAAATTACTAGGTCCTGGCTGGGGAAGCAAGGACAATCACCTACTTGAGTGCAGACCAAGAGTTGGTACGTTTGAACATGATATTAGATAACATCATCTCCTGGACTTGATCAGAGTTGTCTATTCTGCGTTAGTTTATTATTGATAATGTTTCTCTTATGTTGACATAAAAGGTACTGCCAGAGATGGGTTATCAATTACTCCAGAGTTATTCAGAGCAGATAAAAAACTGGGGTTGGCTCTGCAACATAAATGTAGAAGGGTCAACGTCCTTTAAGAAGTAATTTTTCTCTTGCTGTCCCCTCAATATGCAAATACTTGATCATCTATGAGGCAGCATATGTAGTTGTGTATTTTAGATTGCGCACCATGATTGAGTAATATTTTCCTTTTCTACAGAAACATGAGCATCATCCAAAGGAAACCAACTCCTGTCACACTTAATGCGGTTAGTCTTGCTCTTTCACTTCACTTACTGCTTTGGCGAGTTAAAAGACTATTCTCTGTGGGATTTTATAGGGTTCACTTGAATGATCACTCTGTTTACACCACTCGTAGGTCCCATGCATTCTGGGTGTAAATCTCTCAGATGTTGATCTATTGGAGTTTCTTCAGCAGGTACGGCCAAAATGGTGTATACGCACATAACTTGCCTTTTCTTTTTCTTACTCAACTTGACAAACCAGCTTGCTGATACTGACGGATCATCAACAATTCCTCCATCCGTTCTCCGAGTCCTAAATTCCAAAGCATGTAGAGGTATATTATTGATCTCTCCAGAATAGTTTTGGTGACGACCATTCGGCACTTTGTTCTCTGTTAATTCTGTGTTTGATTACAACTGCTAAGGTGCAATTATGTTCGGAGATTCTCTGTTACCCTCGGAATGCTCTTTGATCATCGACGGGCTGAAGCAGACCTCACTTTGTTTCCAGGTAAAGTAAGAGAAACATCAAATCATACCAAAAAGACGGAATATTTTTAATCAAACTAAGTCTGTGAACAGTGTGCTCATGGGAGACCAACGACAGTACCTCTGGTCAATCTGAAGGCACTGCACAAACAGATAGCAAAGCTCGGTTCCAGACAAGTGTGGCATGGGTTCCAACGCAGAGAAATCACGCTTGTTCGAGCCAAGTCACGCTTAGATGAGGCTAAAAGCTAAAAAAGTTGCACTTTGTATCAAGGCTTTGTTGCCCTAGGCTCTAGTTTCCAAGTTTGCTATACCCTCAAGTCTTACTGTAAATCTTTTCCTTGATAGTTGTATAGGCTGATGCACCACACTCATACTCTTTGCACTCAGAGTTATATACAATGAATTCTCTTTCTAAAGTATATGTTACCGTCTTACAATTGGCAAGCTGAATTCTCTAACTTTCTCCACTTGTGGGCTCCAAAACTAATCAAATAGTAGTCGTACCATTAATCATTAAACTCTTTTCACTCTAGTTTTTACGTGAATTACATGGTAGTGGAACATCGACGATCATGGTCAATACATGGAAACATAAGACATAACAATGATCATAAACAGCATCAAACACAAAACAACTAATTTTCAGTCTTCATATCAGCGACATGGCAAGCTTCTTCGCCTGCAAATCAGAGAAACTCTTTCTAGTTTAGGTTTTTGTTTTTTTGTTTTTTGTGACCAACAAATATTATATACCATACCCCAAATGTTATCTAATGCATACCTCATATAATTCTTGATAAGCAAGTTCTCTCCGCCCAAATGCTGAGATAACAGGGAAAAAAAGCAATTACGAATTGTGGTTTGTTTCTTTATCTCAATAATAACTAACAATCTCAAGATATGAAAGGATAGTCACAACATTACCAAGAGCAGAGTAGAGCACAACACCTATGCAAGCATATCCGCTCTCAACAAGAGCTTCTTTCAGCCCAAGCTCGCGATCTAGCATCTCCAGGAATCGGAGAACATATGACAAAATGAAATATCAATTTCTATTCACGAATACATCAAAAATACCAAAACGTTACCTTTGGACGAAGAGAAATTACGGCGAGACGCAACCCATCTCCCTCCGCGCGTTGCCTGCGTGCTAACGGATCGAAGACTCTGCATGTCGCCTCAATTAGGGTTCTCTCTCTCTTGTTTGTGTTTGTGTGTCGTTAAAATAGCTTCAAATAGGCCTGCGTTATCCTACTGGGTCTTTAATAATATCTTATTATCTTCACGTGATGTATATTCTTTTAAGTACACCCAAACCATGTCCTTGTTCTCGTAAACAATGCCATTTTAATTTATTATGAAAGTTAGTAGTATGGTTTTTAAAAAGGTTAAATTATTTTGCACCCCAACGAGAATTTTCAATAGTTCCTGTTTTTAGCACTAAAGTATGGTTGTCCAAAAAAAACAAAATAAAGCAGTAAAGTAGTATACTGATCATTTTACCATCCACCAATAGTAGACTTAGATTCAAATGAATTCTAGTTCTATGACTGTATTAATAGATATTTCTTTTTGTTAAAGGATCTTCATGTATTGATAGATATTTTCTCAGGGTTGAAATTTTTTTGATGAATGTATCCACTTTAATGAAAATGTCATATACCTTATATCTAGACCAGGTTATATAGTTTAATCAAATTCACTACTAAAATATTCAACAAGCTGACCGGAACAAAATTTGGTGAAAATAACAATCATGTGTTACAAAACAATTTAATCAATAACAGAAAAGCATATGAAAATGAATCGAAAGCTAACAAAGGCTTGTTAATTTGATTGTCTCAAACTTAGTAAATGTATCAGGTTTTTTTTCTATCCACAGTTACTTTATTGTTTAAGAGTAGGCTATGCATATTTATGAACCGAAAAAAATCATATACAGTAATAGTATAATACAAAACTTGCTAAAGAGAAAAACAATTACACACGATATGATGTTATGATATTATCAGATTCTTTAAAAATCTACACAAACTAGTATATCTATAGATAGGGAAGCTACTAGAGGAAACAAACCAAATCAGGTAAACTTGACATGATGTGAAACAAAACAAGCAAATGGAAACTGAAAATGAAATAAAAAAAGACATTGGAGCTGGTTTGTATAATATGTTAGCTCAAACAAATTGTTAGTCAAACAAATTCATTATATGTATCCCCAAATAAGAAATCAATCACACAGAGAAAAAAAAAGCAAAACAACAATGCCCGGATACCAAGCATGATCAGGATAATAAAGAGTTTGAAACATGATTCTCACAAAATGACTTGAGCAAGGACACTGAGAAACTTTTTCACAAGACACAAATTGTCCGTGTTACATATCTGCTGCTGTCGATGAACCCTGAAGAGTTTCCACCTCCCTCTTATACTGAAAAAGACAGAGATGAATAGGAATGAAATAATAGCAATGATCACAAAGTAATTCAATGGACTTATGTAATACCTCTTCTGTGCGCTTCTTAATCCTCTCGATCCTTTCCTCTACCTCCTTACCAAGGAGAATGTAACTTACTACAAATCCCCAAGACACTCGGTAAACTGCACGATATAAATTCCACTTTTTACGAATCTCCATTTCTCTATTCCCGCGAACTGCTCCATTCGTCTCTACAATCACACATGACAAAAGAGATGAAGACTCTTCCTCAAATTCCCCTCCGAATACGAATTCATCAAAACACATGACAAAAAGATTAACACTTTAACCACTAAAAAGAGTAACAACTTTGATAGATTTCATGCTGAATCAGAGAACAAATGACAAAATGAAAAATCAGTTTAAAAAATAAAATTATTTTCACGAATACATCATAATACCAAATCGTTACCTTTGGTAACGGATGAGGAAGAGAAATTACGGCGAGACGCAACCCATCTCCCTCCGCACGTTGCCTGCGTCATAACGGATCGAAGACTCTGCATGTCGCCACAATTAGGGTTCGCTCTCGCTCTCGCTCTCGCTCTCGCTCTCTCTCTCTCTCTCTCTCTCTCTCTCTCTCTCTCTCTCTCTCTCTCTCTCTCTCTCTCTCTCTCTCTCTCTCTCTTTTGTGTGTGTGTGTCGTTAAAATTGCCTCAAATAGGCTTGCGCTAGGGCAAAAAAAATTAAAAACTGTGTGCCGTTTTTAAATATAAATCTCCGATTAAAAATAAAACTGAAGGCTCTCCGCGTTTCCTTTTTAATGTATTTGGCAAGTGTTACTAATACATCAAATCAACTCATGATAATAATAAAGAGTGTAGTGTGGAAACACAAAATGACTTGAGAAAGGACTCTGAGTATCTTCTTCACAAGACACAAATTATCCGTTAGTTACATATCTGCTGCTTTCCAGTTGCCACTCTGAAGAGTTTTCTCCTCTCTTAGATACTGAAAAAATACAAAGATGACGATGATGAACAAGGATGAAATAGTAGCAATGGTCACAAAGTCATTCAATGGGCTTATATATATACCTTTTCCTTTTGCTTCTTAAGCCTCTTCGTCCCTATCTTCTCACTAGTGAGAAGGTAACCTTAAATATAAAGAAAAAAATATTTATATAGACATGTATATTAAAATCATCGAGGAAAACTTGAAGGAAATATCTATACCTAATGAAAATCCCGCACACACTTTCCGGATTGCCATTTTAGTTTGCGTCGATGTCCATTCTTCATTCAGTGCTTCATTTGTCTCTACAATCACACATGACAAAAAGATAAAACACTTTTCGTTTATGACCCAACCCGAATACGAAAGATTTTTAAAAAATAAATAAAAAATAAACAATCCGAATACGTATTCATCAAAACAAAAACAACATATGACAAAAAGATCAAGACTTGAAACGATAAAAAAAAAAAGGTAACAACTTCGATATATTTCATGCGGAATCAGAGAACAGATATGACAAAAAGAAAAATCAAAACTTAAAAAGAAAAAACAAAAATTATATTCACGAATACACCAAAAGTCCAAAACGTTACCTTTGCAAACGGAGGACGAAGAGAATTTACGGCGAGACGCAACCCATTTACCTCCGCGCGTTGCCTGCGTCATAACGGATCGAAGACTCTGCATGTCAGCAATTACTATATTAGGGTTTTCTTCTCTCTGATTTGTGTGTGTTTTTCTCTCTCTCTTGTTTATGTGTGGTTTAAGATAGCTTCAAATAGGTCTGCGTTATCATATTGGGCCTTATTTATAGGAGGCAAGGCTTATTTATTATGTTAAAAAATAAGTTTAACAAAACCAAGAAAAATAAATAACTCGTGATGTTTAAAAAAAAAAAGAAGCAATAACTCTTTTAACATTTAGACAAACAAATAACGCATGGAGATTCCAATTTGAAACTACGGCATGCAACGTTTCCAATGTGTAGACTGTAGTTAACGTGCAACTAGTTTCGTACAGCTGTCTTCAAACACTTGAATCTGCAAACGTTTTGTGTTTTCTTTATATATACAAACAAGGAGCACAAATTGGTTCATCGAAACTAGACATGGACGTTGGTAGTCTTATCGATTTAGTAAGATGGTAAACTTGAACCATCTGTTAACTCTTTAGTTTAATATTAACGTTCTTAACTGATCGAGTTACATACAAACTAAAATTGTAGTATTGCGTATGAATGATGCATCGCATGTTCTCATTGCGTCATATATGTGAGAATATGTGTACGAACTGAGTTATGCAGCCTAATTTATCATTAACGTTCACGACATGTTTTTTTATCTTTAGATAATTCATTCTAGTTGTAAGTTACAACTTGTAACCTTTCGATTCAGCTATATTGTGACATCCTGTAGCAACGAAAGATTGACAAACTTTAATATTGATGGAAAGCTAAAAAGATAAAAAAAATTCTATTGATGGTAGGCAATATATATCAAGAGACAGCATGATCTTCCATGGTTGCCTGGTAGATGTTTAGCCAGAGACAGCATGATCTTCTTCAGTTATCATTTCACTTTGGTCTGTGCCAAGAACACTACACAATGCCTTCCAAATGGGAACCAACATCTTTAATGGCGGACGCAGTTCCTGTACAAAGAAGCGAAATAAACTCAGAAATCAATGGCCAATACAAACAACATAATGTTTCCAGATTGAATAATATGGTAGCTCTCGATATTGTTTCTCAAAGTTATTGGAACAAAATGCTGGCATTACCTTGAACACTAATGTAAGCTGTTCTTCGCCACGCAGAAACAAGGAGAGACTCCAGTAACATGTAACGGGTGTCACACATTCGACCAGCACTGGCTTCAATATTTTGCCAATTGGAATAAACCTGGAGACAGTTTTCCCACTGCAAAGCAGAAACACGTACGAAAACCTTCAAGTGCTTGTATGATTTGTGAAAGCATAGATGATACTAGCTCATGGAAGTTGCAACTAATTCCACCATTACCACCTCTCTTAAAAGCCATTAAAGCGTACCTTAAATATTGAGTTTCAAGTTGGATCCCGAAGGATGGCATGATTATAACAGATTCTGAACAATTCAAAATATTCAAAGTATCAGTTTTTGAGGATGTGAAGACTATATCATCATTAGTTGAAAGTTTAAAACGTGTAACAAGGTCTCACCTTTCTTCACAAACTTCTTACTTTGTAGCATAATAACGAAACCAATCAAAAGGCAGCTCCAAGAAAGAGTCCTAACTGGATTGTCCTGTTTCATGAGAATGATCCCTTTCAGTTACCCACGTGAACAAGATATTGATAGAACAACAACAAAACAACCTTGTAACAGTAACACAGGCTAAGAAACGTAATCTGCACATTATTAACAATATTGCTCAAAACAATGCCTTCCTCAAACTATGCACTAGCCCCACTTGTTCTAAGCAAATTCATATCTAAATACCAAATGACACAACAAAAAACATCTCATAACAGTATCATCATTACCTTTCCAAGGCAAAAGTACATAGAAATCGCCAAAATCACAAGTAATAAACCAAGTCCTCGACGACGGGCGTAACCAGTTGCTCTGCTTCCGTTGATGAGCACATGGTGAATGTCAATGGCTCCTTTAGCTGCCTCACTTTCACGTTCGTGTACGTAAGTGTATCTCTTATTCGAAAGAGACGAGCTCACCATTCCAAAGCTAGCTTAATTGAAAACACACCAACCCATATAGGAGCCTCTGTAAGGCCAGCTTCTCAATACCCAAGCAAAAATTTCAGACCTTTGAGTCTCAGTCAAATCAGGCGGCAAACAAAATTTCTCAGCGAACTTCCGTCGAGCAACACGCGTGCATAAATCTCCCCAACTATCCCCACACAACGCAGAAACAGTTTATCAACATAGGAAGAAGAAAGGATCCTCCCGATGATTGAAAGGCGCAATTCTACAAATTAGAGTGACGACGGCAAAAGAAAAGGGGTCAAATCGGAGCCGGCTTGTCTTTCCAGTGAAGAAAAAGAAGACGATGTGATATTTTCACTTTGGTCTGGTGGCGAAGAAAAGGGAGATAAAAATCAATACATGTGTGCCGTTTTTAGTTACAAATCTGCGGGTAAAAAAATCTAAACGCTCTCCCGTTTTCCTTTTTACTACATCAACGCCATGCCGCTTTTGAATTCTCGTAAAACCTATAAAAGCTAATTTAGCGTAGACTTTGTAAGGAAAAGTCAAAATTAAATTTTATCTCTCTCTCTCTCTCTCTCCCGGTGGTTCTCTACTCCGCCGTCGAATCACCGTCGTTCTAATTTAAGCTCATCCTTCTGCTCTTTCCCGCGGAGGAGAAAAAACCCTAATTTAAAGTGTGAGACTTTCCAATTTCAGTCATGCGCTGCAAACAATGCAATCGCACCGACTTTCAGCTCGACGAAGACACAGGGAATCCGTATTGCAGCGGATGTGGGACGATCCCGGAGTACGATAACTACGTGGCTCAAATCGGCGGCATAAACGGACCTCAAGGTACGTATATCCAAGTAGGCAGGACCGGTATAGGCCATGTCCTCGCTTACAAAGAGAAGAAGGTCTATGAAGCTAAGAACTTGATTGAAGTAATCGCAGAGAGATTGAATCTGGGTACTAAATCTGAAGAGGTTAAGAGTATGATTGGTAAAATCACGGATGGGGAATTCGGGCAGGGTGATTGGTTTCCGATTTTGATTGGGGCTTGTTTTTATGCTGTGATAAGAAGAGGAGGAGAGAGTGTTTTGCCTATGGAGGAGATTGCTGATGCTGTTGGATGTGATAGTAGGAGGTGAAAGTCAGCTTAGTTGTGTATCTAACACGGATGATGATGAGTTGTCTGCGAAACAGTTGTGTACAACGTATAAAGAGTTTGATGATGGAGTTCGAAACGGGACTATTGTGAGAAGAAGTGAGGAAAACGATAACAGTAGTAGATCTGTTTTTCAGATGGTTCCATGTGAGGATTGGTGGAAGGGGAAATCGAAGATGAGTCAAAGGCTTCCGCTGAAAGAAGTGTTGGAGAAAGATGTAGGGCTTGAGGCTTTGCCTCCGTATCTGAAATGGATTGGGAGGATTTGGTGATACAGACTCTGGTCTTGCACAATGTGAACGATGAAGAAATCGAGAAGGGGCATTACAAAAGCTTGTTTCAACAACTGAATTAAAATGCTTCTTGTATTTCTCAAAATCGATTTTTACCAGCCATAGAGTATTCATATACTTGTAACGTTATTGAGTTGGGAAACACTTATTATCATGGAATTCTGTTTATCAAGCAGGATAATCCTATTTGTGTGTTACACATTTTCGTCCACGAGTGGTAAACTAAAATCAAGGTTTGGTATAAAGACAAATCTTTTGCGTAAGAACAAGCAGTTTCCTTCGAGTTAAAATAGGGTGACCAACAGATATAACAAAAGAGGAAGCAATAAGTCTGACATAATTATCGTTTTTATCCTTTCACAAACACACAAAAACAATAAAAAGTACTGACACGAGTCTTTTCTTCCAAAGAAGGATTTTAGAGTCATTTTGGTAACTAATATATTTTCATGATATAATTAAGTAACTAACATATTAAAAAAAACGTTAGAGGTAAAAGGTATAAGGGTATCCGTACAAAAGTTGTAATGGGCTGTGCTATGTTGCATATACGCATTATGTGCGTGGGGAAGACAATTCAGATGGAATTAATTAGTGTAGTAAATATAAATCTTAATGCTTGTTTTCTTATTACCATCTCCATTTTTTCAAAAGTGAATTACCTTTTTCTTTTACAATCATAGTTTTCATATTCCTCTTTTCTTTAAATTACGAATTTTTATAATCAAATTGAAATAAAATTAAGATTATAAGGTGAATTTTCCAAATCATATAATGTTCATAACTAAATAAAAAATTACATAGATACCTAGATAACCATATCATAATATATCAAAATATAAGTTTATATTCACAATAGAGCACATTACATTATAATATATATATATATATATATAACCACATAAAAATATAGATAACTATCAAAGTATTAAATCATATACTATATACTATATTAACAACTAAATACATCTTATTATATAAAGCTGGATGCGCACGACGTGGTTGCGACACGTAGGATTTTTATAAAATTCAGGATCGCGACATGTGTCACTTTTAAGTTTATGTCCGTTAAGATCGTGACACGTGTCTTAGGAAAAAAGAGAACTTAAAAAAAAATTCCAGAAAAATGTTAATTAAAAAAACGAAATTTAATTTAATCTATTATATCAAAAAGGAAAAAATAATATTTTTCAAATCCAAACAGAAAAAGGTTTCCCATTCATCAATTTTTTTTATATAAAGTTGGATGCGCACGACGTGGTTGCGACACATAGGATTTTTATAATTTATAAGATCGCGACATGTGTCACTTTTAATGTTACGTCCGTTAAGATCGTGACACATGTCTTAGAGAAAAAAAAAAAAAAAAAAAATAGATAAAGGAATTTTTTTAAAAAATAATCCATTACAGTTAAAAGAAATAAAAATATATTTGTCATATCCTAATAGAGAAAGGTTTCTCATTCATCAAATTAATATTATCCAAACAAATAATAAAATCAAAATAATGTAATAAATAAAATCCTATTTGTACATGAATATGTTATGTAAACTAAATTTCCTATAACTGCATGTAATAGGTTACTTGAACCCTATAAAAGAGAGTCAAGGTTTCTCAATCATAAATTCATCAAAGCAAATTCATCAAATCCCTTTGATTCTATTTCTCCAATTTAAAAATCATGTTTTTGAAAGTTTTGCGATACATAGGATTTTTATAACTGACAAAATTGCGACATGTGTTTTAGAAAAAAAAAATTCTGGAAGTATGAAGATCGTAACATGTGTCATGGAATAAATAATAAAAAATTAATATGTATAAGACTAACTAAAAATTAGAAAAACAGATAACAAATAATTAAAATGAAAAAAATAATACATCCATTAAAAGTAATAAAAAAACAGGAAACAAATAATTTAAATTCTTTTGTTACATCTATTAAGAAAAGGAAAAAAATCCATTTCGAAAAGGAAAAATACCAATATATAGTATTTATAATGGTCTGAGGCAAAAACAAAATTGAGAAAGAAAAAATATAAATAGAAAACTAACAAAATAATTATCAAGCAATTAACTAATATTAAAAAATTATAATTGATATTCTAATTTTAAATAGTTTGATTTTCAATTTTTGTTAGGTAAAAAAATTGAAATAAAGATTTCATCAATTAAAATCTCTTGAATGGAATAATAAAAGTTTGATTAATTAATCAATTGATCAGATTTAGACATGTGTAAGTCTTTCTGTATTGGATAAAAATAATAGTAAAACAAATTATTCAAATTTTGTATCATAAATTTATAAAAAATAATCATATTAATAAACAAATAATTTAAATTCAAAAGAAAAATCAATTACAATAAAAATGTAAAAGTATTACCAATCTTATTTTATTTAAATATTTTTATCGGGTTTTCAATATTATTTTGTTTACGTTTAAAAATGATCAAATTTTGTTTAATATTTTTCCATGCTTTTATTATAAAATCTTAAAATATACCCGCATATACGGGACCTTAATCTAGTTGTTATATAAATTTATAAACATATATGAACAATCATATAAAAATATAGATGGCTATATAAACGAATATAAAACTATATCTATGTAAATACATTGTTACATATATCTGTAGACAATTATATTAATATATATCAAACCATAAACATTTGTATACCTTTAAAAGATTGCACTATATTTATATATCGATCATATAAGTTTAGAGGCAATCATATATTATACTTATGAACATAAGTATCAAGTTATGAGAATATATAATTTGTTAATTAACCAATGTAAATATTTGAATAAACAATTAGAATAACTTTTTGTTGTTATAATGTTATTGAAAATTAAACACTTTTAGATTGCATTGAGACTTTATTATGCCGCTTTAATTGTCACTTGTCGTTTTGAGAATACGTGTTCATTAACATACAAAGACTTTCTGTGGACTGCAATTAATAAGTTGCATTGTACATGGAAAATGGGTCGCGTGGAGTTATTTTAGACCAAATTGGTGGCAAAATAATATCGTTGTCTATGTATCGTAATGGCTTATGTCAATTACTTAAATACGGTGTTAGTTACTACAATTTCTCAGGATTTTATTTAATACTACAAGAGATATTCAGTCTTTCATAGTAAGTCTCGCCACAAATCTACTTGGTCTTGAAAAGACCCTTCAGCTCCTCGTGAACAAAGGCTTTGTAGAGCAAGACTGAAATAGTAAACAAAACAAAATCAGTTTTTTTTGTTTTACTTTTATCTTTAAAAAAATGGGAGTCAATAGTCAAAATACCTGCACCAGAAGCCACGTAGATAATACCAACAGCCTTTTTGTACAGTGCGTGATAACTCTCTACATAAGGGATAAATATTACATTAATTTTTTCTTTTTTGGTGAAGATTAAATATTATATTGAATAGGAATATATAATAAAATGTTGATATCGAGGATAAAAAAATATTATGGTATTGATATTAATATAAGGATATTGGTTTAAGGGATAGTATGGAACATATATCATAATCCATATCATATCAAACTAGGATATATTATATGGATAATCAATGTTATGGATTGATGGATAATATCCTTAATCCCCATCCATATTATCCTACACAAATATCGGCAGGAATATCTCTAATCAATTTCTAAATATGGATAAATATGTGTTCATCAATAATATTTTAGTGAATATTTGTTCATCAATAATTTCTAAATATGGATAAATATGTGTTCATCATTAATAATAAACTACATGAATCATCAAGAACAAGAAAGAAAGAACAAGAGGCCAAAACCTTACCTTTGGGTGAACCAATTTCCGGAGCTCTGTCCCCTGCTCCGTTCGTCTCTACAAGGGAGACCAAAACAAAAGGATAAAGATTCTTTTATGACCCAGACAAATCCATTATGCAAAAAAAAAATAATCAGAGCAAAAGAATTGACTTTATACCTGTGGCTGAAGCAATTTTGTCTGCCTTGAAAGCTCCTCCTGTATACGAATTCATCAAAACAGAAAGATCAAAGCTTGATCCACAACTTTGATAGATTTCATGCGAAAACAACAAAACGAAAAATCAAACCTTCGCCAGCGGAGGACGAAGAGAAACTACGGCGAGACGCAACCCATCTCCCTCCGCGCGTTCCCTGCGTGATGACGGATCGAAGAGACTGCATGTCGGCAAAATTAGGATTCTCTCTGATTTCTGTGTGTTCCCCTTTTTCTCTCTCTTTCTCTCTCTCGTTTGCGTTTGTGAGTGCTTGAAACTAAAATAAATAGGCCTGCTTTATCATATTCGTGTTGGGCCTTAGCCCGATTATTTATAATCACGATGTTAAAAATTAAGTTTAAACTAAAACACGAAAAAAGAATACAAGTCTGTTCTGAATTTTAAAATTCTTAAAAATACCACAAAATAGTTTTTTTTTATTTTCCAACAGTAAACTGATTTGTAATGGTATTTTAGGAATGTAATGGAACGTACTTTTACTTACTAGTTAACATTCATTCACGACAAATAAATATTGAATTGAAATTATGCTGTCTTTGCGACAGAAAGATGCCAGGTCGCTGTGCAGTCATGGAAAATTAATTGTTATGCGTTTCCTCAAAACAAAATTATATTCCAAGTTAGTGATATAAATAGTACTGAGTATCATTAATTCGCATAGGCCAAATCATTATCTGTCTTTATATTTAACTTGAAATTGATCACCCAAACTGCGTAGTGTATGTATCCATAAGTTTAACAAATACACATCCTGATTCAACTAATAATTAGGAGTCAAAAGGATGAGAGAAATTTTATAAAATACACCTTTTGAGGAAAAGTGGAGAGCTTGTACGTGTTATGGAAGCAGATAGGCATGTTGTATCGAGAAACAAACAATCCGCATATGCCAGTTCTTGCTAGCAGCGGAATTGAAAGTGACATTAAGATGTGGACCTCAAATGTAGCTGAGAGAGCCACAATGCCACATTGCCTGATAACATCGAACTGGTATGCTTTGTTGTTGCACTTATTTCATTTCCATTCGTGCTAGAACCTTCTCTGACTTATGAAACCATGAAGGTACACTAATACTCTGTGCTTGAGAAATAGGACTTTCTTATAACTCTATATGTGGCCCATTTTTACAAAACCGAAACTATGTCTTGGGAATCTCGTGTCTGCTGGCGTCTGGATCTACTATTAGTAGTATCGTATTGCTTGTTCTGAAACTGAATGGAGTTTTTAATTCACGCAGAGGTTGATTGTAATTTTGTCATATTGATTTAGTTGGGTGTTTTTGTTCTTCTTTTTCTTGGGATCTAATGGTATGAGATCAAACTAATTTGGCCACTGTTGCTTTGTTTGAAAAATGTCCAGTTACAAATCGCATTCCTTGGCACTCTTTTCTTAGCTTCGATGATAATGACTCTGATGATGACATGGATTTTGATGATGATATAGATGATGAATGTTTTATTGAATCTGATAACACTAGGGGTAAATAATTGTGATGGTGGTAGTGAGAGGAATGTTGATAGTGGAAGTGAAAGTTACCAAGATGATGATGATGATGATGATGATGATGATGATGATGATGATGATGATGATGATGAATATTAATGTTTTGAAATTTGTGTTTCAGCGGAACCGAAAGCCTAGGGGATGGATATCTACACCGCAAGAACTATTGGCACAACGCAGTTTCAGTCCAGAGAGTGAGAGAGAAGGAGATTCTTCTTCAGCTACTGGAAGAGAGCTTCTTGATCTTATCCTCACCTTCAATGATGATGACAGCGACGATGATAAACTCTCTGATGATGCGATGGTAATAGCCGTGAAGACTTCTTCTCTTAGTCAACTTGGTAAAGATATCTTCTCCTTTGGAGAGTTTGTATATATTTTTCAGCCCCTTTACGAAACTAGCTGGTGGTGTTCGTGTTTTTTTCCATTGTCAAAATATAAATAAAGGACCAATAACTCTTTAACATGTATCATGAACTACGAGCAGGTTATTTGTGTAAATGATTTTCTATTATTCTGATAAGAGAATTTTGTTTTACAAATGAAATTATGCAGTGTATACAACTTGGCTGATTATAGATGCTTATATGCGGTCTTATAGATTATAGTCTAACGTGACTATCTTAATATTTAATCTGGCCAGTACATGTCTTACTTATCGCTATAATTGATACGTGTAGAGTTATTTCAAGTTCCATGCTCGAACTCGTCGTCTAATTCACTCAGATTGCTATTAATTGAATAAGGAGGGCACAGAAGAAAGAAACAAATAAATAAAAGGAAAGACAGAAGCATAAATTGTCCAGACTTTGCCTCATTCACATTGCTGCTTCACCAAACTTGCTTACTTTTATCAATATTTAATTAATACAAATATCAGTGATAGAGAAATCCCGTCACTTGTTATTTCGGTTTTGAAAGGCGTCACAGCTTTTGGAGCCGTCTCATGACAACAACAATTAGTTTGGACTCTACACTACTATGACTATGAGTCGTCGGTGACAAACGACGAGCCAAGAAGTGATTTTGTTTGCCGGAGAAGGAGGAGGAGAACCTGAAGCCATCCAGTTTTGTATCACCCAATATCTTCACTTTTTGGGTCGGATAGATTTTAGGCGGCTAAAATGTTGATAAATATTTGAAAAATCGTGAAGACAGCTGATACACTGAGGAGGGAACACAAGCACTTACAACAAAACTATTGAACGTAATAAAAGCATGTCCAATGCTTAAATTTAATCAAAAATGCACATAAAAGTAAGTTGTGATGCTTATTTAAGCACTATGAGAGCATGAATAACGCGGGACGCTTAATGCGCCTCTTAGCAAAAAAAAGCATTTAATTAAATAAAAAATAGATATCTTTCGAGAATCTTAATCAAATGAAAACATAAGAGACAATGTAGAAGGAGAGAGGCGAGCAACTAATAAAATAATACAAACGTTGTTTTAAGGAGACACAAAAGACAAATCCCTCAAAAGACAAGATGAGCTCAAAGGAAGGCATCCTTCTCAAGTAGCTTGACGACCTCGAGCTGGTTGTTGAGCTTGGCTACATCAGTTGGTGTCTTCTCGTCTAGGTTTTGCAGAGTCCTGCAATATTATTATACAAGCAAAAGTGGTGGTGACACACTGTTTAATGGAGTCGCTTATTTACAAGGATAGTGTTGTAAAAGACTTACACTGGCAGCACCATTCTCTAGGAGAAGGCTTACACACTCATTCCTCCCGTAACCAGCAGCGTAGTGCAGAGGCGTGTTCTTGTTTTTGTCAACTGCGTTAACACTTGCTCCAGCATCGATAAGAACTTGCGCACATTTCAACTGTGTAAAGAGGACTCACTAGTGGGTCAAAACTCAGTCCATTAACAAAATTGAAGTAATCGCCAATTCCATCTCATTGTTCTTTCACTAAATATCTAATCATGCTAAAGTAATCTTTGTCATAACGGTGACTTCTCTACCAAGTGAATGATGATGATTAAGATTCTTAACTTCAACAGCTAGTGAAAAATTAAGTTTCATACCTCGCCGTATCCGCAAGCAAAATGCAATGCCGTCCTTCCCTCGGAATCTTCTTCATCTTTGTTACCACCGGCTTCCAAAGCATTTTTCGAACCCTAGTTGAAATAAAAATTTCAATCCAATCAAATTTTGAGAAAACGGCAAAAAGACACTTCTGTCTGTTCCACCTAATTCCTCGAGCAACACATAAATGAACATTGAACAAAGTAGACAGCAATGTACCTCAACATCACCAAGACTGGCGGTTTTATGAACAATAGACTCTTCTTCTTCTTCACCTTCTTCAACTTCTTCCGCTGCCTCCCGAAAGATGGCATGATTATAACAGATTCTGAACAACTCCAAATAAGAAATGTATCAGTTTTTGAGGGATGTGAAGACTATATCATCATTTGTTGAAAGTTTAAAACGTGTAACAAGGTCTCACCTTTCTTGACAAATTTACTTCGTAGCATAACAAAGAGACCAATAAAAAGGCGGCTCCAAGAAAGAGTTCTAAGTGGATTGTCCTGTTTCATGAGAATGATCCCTTTCAGTTACCCACGTGAACAAGATACAGATGGAACATCAACAAAACGACCTTGTAACAGTAACACAGACTAAGAAACATAATCTACACAGAACATTTCATTTATTAACATATTGCTTAAAACATTGCCTTCATCAAACTCTGCACTAGCACCCACTTGTTCTAAAGCAAAATTCATATCTAAATACCAAACGGCACAACAAAAAATTCTCATAACAGTCTCATCATTACCTTTCCAAGGCAAAAGGAAGAAAATTATATTCAAGGAAGAAACCAATCCCCCGACGACGGGCGTGACCATTTGCTCTGCTTCCGTTGATGATCACATGGTGAATCTCAATGGCTCCTCTTAGTGTCTCACTTTCACGTTCGTGTACGTAAGTGTATCTCTTATTCGAAAGAGACGAGCTCACCATTCCAAAGCTAGTTTAGTTGAAAACACACACCAACACATAGATAAGCCTGCGCTCAATACCCAAGCAACAATTTCAGACCTTTGAGTCTCAGTCAAATCAGGCGGCAAACAAATTTCTCTGCGAATTTCCGTCGAGCAACATGCGTGCATAAATCTCCACACAGCGCAGAAACAATTTATCAACAAAGGAAGAAGAAAGGATCCTCCCGATTACTGAAAGGCGCAATTCTACAAATTGTAGTGACGACGGATAAAATAAAAGGTCAAATCGGAGCCGGCTTGTCTTTCCGGTGAAGAAAAAGAAGACGATATGATACTTTCACTTTGGTCTGGTGGAGAAAAAAAGGGAGATAAAAATCACTAGACTGTGTGCCGTTTTTAGTTACAAATCTCCGACTAAAATATATCTAAACGCTCTCCCGTTTTCCTTTTTACTACATCAACGCCATGCCGCTTTTGAGTCCTCGTAAAACCTATAAAAGTTTATTTAGCGTAGACTTTGTAAGGAAAAGTCAAAATTAAATTCTCTCTCTCTCTCTCTCTCTCTCGTTTGCCGTCGAATCACCGTCGTTCCTAATTTAAGCTCATCCTTCTGCTCTTTCCCGCGGAGGAGAAAAAACCCTAATTGAAAGTGTGAGACTTTTCAAATTTCAGTAATGCGCTGCAAACAATGCAATCGCACCGACTTTCAGCTCGATGAAGACACAGGGAATCCGTATTGCAGTGGATGTGGGACGATCCCGGAGTACGATAACTACGTGGCCCAAATCGGCGGCATAAACGGACCTCAAGGTACGTATATCCAAGTAGGCAGGACCGGTATAGGCCATGTCCTCGCTTATAAAGAGAAGAAGGTCTATGAAGCTAAGAACTTGATTGAAGTAATCGCAGAGAGATTGAATCTAGGTACTAAATCTGAAGAGGTTAAGTCTATGATCGGTAAAATCACCGATGGGGAATTTGGGCAAGGTGATTGGTTTCCGATTTTGATTGGAGCTTGTTGTTATGCTGTGATAAGAAGAGGAGGAGGAGAGAGCGTTTTGCCTATGGAGGAGATTGCTGATGCTGTTGGATGTGATTTGCATCAGCTGGGGAGTATGGTTAAGCGTGTTGTGGAGCATTTGGAGCTGGAGTTGCAAGAGATTAACCTCGTGGGTTTGTTCACGAAGACGGTGACTAATTCGTCGAGATTGAGTGGTGTTGATAGGGAGAAGAAGGAGAGGATAACAAAGCAAGGAGCTTTTCTGATGAACTGTTCGTTGAAGTGGTCTCTGTCTACAGGGAGGAGACCAATGCCTTTGGTTGTGGCTGTGTTGGCGTTTGTGTGTCAGGTGAATGGTTTGAAGGTGAAAGTTGATGATTTGGCTAAAGATGCTGTGGCGTCGTTGAATACTTGTAAACTGAGGTATAAAGAGATAGCGGAGAAGCTTGTGAAGGTTGCGGAAGAGGTTGGTTTGCCTTGGTGGAAAGATGTTACTGTGAAGAATGTTGTGAAACATTCAGGGAGTTTGCTTGGTTTGATGGAAGCCAAGTCCATGAGAAAGAGAATCGTAGGGAAAGGGGATGAATTGGTGAGAAGTGAAGGGTTGTGTTTGAAGGATATAGTGAGGGACTGCTTAAGCAGAGAAGCTATGTATTGTTATGATGATGGTGATGGTGATGGTGATGGACAAGATAAGTTGTCTCGGTATTTTGATGTAGGAGGAGATGAAAGTCAGCTGAGTTGTGTATCTAACGGGGATGATAGTGAGGCGGCGAAGCAGTTGTCTACTACGTATAAAGAGTTTGATGATGGAGTTCGAAACGGGACTATTGTGAGAAGAAGTGAGGAGAATGATAACAGTGGTAGATCTGTTTTTCAGATGGTTCCATGTGAAGATTGGTGGAAGGGGAAATCGAAGATGAGTCAAAGGCTTCCGCTGAAGGAAGTGTTGGAGAAAGATGTAGGGCTTGAGGCTTTGCCTCCTTCTTACGTTAGAGGTTGTGCTGCAGTGGAGAGACGGAGAGAGAAAATTAAGGCGGCTAAGTTAAGGATTAATAGTGTACAACAACATTCTGCTGAGGCTGTTAGTGAAAGTGAGTCGTGTTTGGAGCTTGTTGAAGAGCACAGGAAGAAGAAAAGGAAGATAGGATCTGAAATGGATTGGGAGGATTTGGTGATACAGACTCTGGTCTTGCACAATGTGAATGATGAAGAAATCGAGAAGGGGCATTACAAAGCTTTCCTTGGTTTGCATGTTTTCAACAACTGAATTGAAATGCTTCTTGCGGTAGAGTAGAGAGATATTGTAACTCGAAACAGGTTTTTATTTTATTATTATAGATTATTACAGTTAAGGAGATGCTCTGAATATTGGAAACATAGAAGCAATCATCACAAACACTTAAAGAAAATTCAACATTCCATATAAATGTAAAATAGTTTCTCGGAGCTGATAAATGTTCGCTTGAGCAGAAAATTGCACAGCACTCTTCTAAGTAAATTGCACCGCAAGTTATATAATATGTCCTGTGTTTGTGTATTTCTGATTTCAAAAGTAATCCGGAATAATATAGTTTGTGATTACGAGTTCTGCTAGGGTAAACTCAAATAACCTGCGTTAGTATTCGTGTCTTTTCAAACAAAATTTCATTTTTTTCATCACAAATGACCCCACAAGTTTTAAAAAGTAAAATGAACATGAAGATAACAATTATCAAGGGACGCTCCAATTCCATAAATTTTAAATGATCGAACAACACATCATCGAAACAAACATAACACATAATGATAAGCCCAAACAACTATCAGATAAGCTCATTATAGTTTAGGTTTTTGGTTTGGACCGTTTTGTTTTTTTTTTTCCTTAAAATATTATATACAACAAATGTATCATACCTCATCTAACTCCAGCTGAATAAATTGCCTGTGGACTAATGCTGAGATAGTAATAAACAAAACGAATTAAGCAATCATGATGATTGTGTTTTTTACTTTATTTCAATAACTAGTATTTTGCTCGTGTAATGCACAGGCATAGATTTTGCTGGTTTAGCTTAGGTGCTATTCTTTAAGGAGAGGAATGAGAACTCCAAGTAGAGCAGAATAAGTTCAGTCGGTCAAAGAGTTTGTTTTTAGTTTGTTTTAATAATGTTAGATCTCGTTTATCTTCTTCTTTTCCACCCCCTAATGGATGATTCTGTTCATCTTCTTCTTCTCCTCCCCGTGATTCTGTTCGGGGTTTTAGTTTCTGATTGATCGTGGATTCGATGAGAGAGGACAAGAACTCGAAGCTGGGAATTCTGGATTCTGCACTGTTCACTCTGGACAAATTGACTATTGGAGCTTTAGCTTGGGCTCTCTTTTTGAAGGAGAGGAATGAGACGAAGAACAAGTAAGGATGGGTCAAAAGAGTCTGTTTAGTTTGTTTCAATAATGGATGATTCTGTTGTGTTCATCTCTCTTTTATTTTGTTTCAATAATGGATGATTTTGTTGTGTTCATCTCTTCTTCTCCTCCCCCTAATAGATGATTGTGTTCATCTATTCTTCTCATTAGAGTTTATTAGAGTTTGTAAAAGGGTCATGCATAATAATCAATTTGATCTTGGAGTTTGTAAAACCGAATCAACAGAGAAATTTTTTTCTTTTTTTTGTGGTTAAGACTCATAAAAATGTGGTTAAACGGCTAATTAAAGGCTCTCGTTTCTTCACCTGTTAAACTGTTATCTCTCTCACTCTCTCTTTCTTCCATTCTGATACGCTCTGGAGTGGCTGGAGTCTCCAGAGGAAACCAGTCAGTGAGACCCACTTCGGTTCTAGCCGCTTTGATTGCTTCTTTTATGGCAAAGAAGACAGATGATGCAAGAAAGAACGGTGGCTCGCCTACTGCTTTAGATGAATGTATTGCCTTTATATTTGGATTCCCCTGATTTAACAAAATGAAATCTCATGTTCAGTTTCAAATGTGTTGATTGCTACCGATTATAATGCTTGTTCTTATAGCTGCATACCTTGAGAAGAGAAACATTGAGGTGGAATGGAATGTCGTTAATGGTAGCTGCATATCTTGTATTTTGCCAATTGGAATAAACCTGGAGACAGCTTTCCCACTGCAAAGCAGAAACACGTACAGAAAAAAATTCAAGTGCTTGTAGAGGAGAGATGTATTGTAATTCGAAACAGGTTTGTATCTTATTATTATAGATTATTACAATTAAGGAGATGCTCTGAATATTGGAAACATAAAAGCAAGCATCACAAAACACTTAAGAAAATTCAACATTGTAAATGTTAAATAGTTTCTTAATAGTTTCTCGGAGCTGATAAAGGTTCGCTTGAGCAGAAAATTGCACAGCACTCTTCTAAGTAAATTGCACCGCAAGTTATATGATTTGTCTTGTTTTGTGTATTTCTGATCTCAAAAGTAATCAATAAAAGGTAATTTCATGTTCTAGGGTAAACTCAAATGACCCCACAAGTTTTTTTTTTTAAGTAAAATGAACATGTAGAAAACAATTACTCTTAAGGGAAGCTCCCAATTCCAGAAATTTTAAATGATCGAAAAAAACAACACAGCTAGCATCGAAACATAACACATAATGATTATAATCAGCACCAAGCCAAAATAACTAGGGTTTAAACATCGAAACATAACACATAACAACCAATTTAAAACCAGCATCAAACCAAAACTACTTGTTTCGGGTCTTCCTCTTCCGCAGCTCCTTAACACGCTCCTTTGCCTGCAAATCAGATAAACTCATTCTAGTTTAGGTTTTTGGTTTGGTTTTGTTTTTTTTGAAAAAAAACATTATGTACAGCAAATGTTAATCATACCTCATCTAACTCCAGCTGAATAAATCGTCTGTAGACTAATGCTGAGATATGAGTAAACAAAACGAAAAAAGCAATCACGAATTGTGTTTTTTACTTTATGTCAATAATGGATGATAAAGGGATAGTCACAATATTACCAGAACCAACGTAGAGCATAGCTCCAGCGGCATAATATCCCCAGGTATCTTCGAGAGACTCGCTAGGTCTCTCCACTTTACGTCTCTTCAGTGCTTCAATCACACATGACTCTTTTTATGATCCAACAAATAACAAAAATAAAATCAGAACATATAGTGTGTTATATTAAATAGCTACTTTTTTAAGCATGGGATAGTCACGAATAACAAAAACTCTTATTTTTGTCATCTAGAGTTATATACGAATTCATCAAAACAAAAACAACAGATGACAAAAAGGTGACTCGAACAAATAAAACGTAACAACTTTGATAGATTTCATGCGGAATCAGAGAGCAGATGACAAAAAAAAAAAAAAATCAAAACGTTTTTCTTAAAAACTAAAACTATTCACGAAAACATCAAACACCAAAGGGTTACCTTTGCAAATGCAGCAGCAGGACGAAGAGAAATTACGGCGAGGCAAAACCCATCTTCCACCGCACGTTGCCTGCATGATAACGGATCGAAGGCTCTGCATTATGTCGGCAAAATTACAATTCTCTCTGATTTGTGTGTGTTCCTCTCTCTTGTTTGTGTGGGGTTGTTTAAGATAGCTTCAAATAGGCCTGCGCTATCCTATTAGGCCTATAAGATGAAGCTGGCCTCGAAGCCCTAATTTGTGGCCTGTGCATATGTAAGTTTTCTCTATTGCATAAAATTTTTGAAGATGCAAATCTTTATAAACGAATAACTAATAATTTTAAGATAGCTTCAAATAGGTCTGCGTTGTCCTATTGCCATTGGGCGTTGGCCCGATTGTTTATAGGAGGTAAAGCTTATTCAAGATTATAAAGATTAAGTTTAACTATAACAAGAAAAAGCAGTAACTCTTAACATTTAGACCCCCTCAGAAAAACATCAACAAATAACTCCTAAATGAGAAAAATGATAGAGGCAATCGTTTTCATGGAGGAGGGTGTGATTATTCATGGAGTCGTTCTGATTATTGGAAAGTAGAAAGCAAGGATCCCAAGCTCTAAGACAAATTCAACATTCCATGTAAAATAGTTTCTCTGAAACTCATAATATATAAGTGTTTCTTAATAATCCCTGAAGAAAACCATTAAATAAAACCCAAGAAATAATAATAAAAAAAAGTTTTAAAACTGCTTATGAATGACTAGGAAATACATTTCTTTGATCTCTCTGATAATTAGAAGTTGTTTCCTCAGCTTGTATTAATCAATGCCATAATCGTCGACATGATCATAAAGGTTGTAGCTTTCAGACAATCCCATCTTTCCCACGAGATGCTCATCCCCTGCAAACACACAAATCACAACATATTCACTGATTATTGTACAGACACGACTCAAAAAAGCCTTCTTTTTCTACAAAACCAATGTCTGATAGAACTCACTTGGGTTTGATAGAACTCCTAGCAAGTGAAGGTCTGAGCTCATCTCAGGGCTCTGGAAGCAAAGATCTTCAGGCCTAGGACTAGTACTTGTTGTCCCAATGGCATTGTTGTTTCCATCAGGTAGAACAAGAAGACCCTCTGGTCTCTTTCTCTTGTCAATCAATGACTCGGTTTCAGTCTCTACCTCAGACTCGCCATTGTTGTTGCTAGAAGAACCACCACCACCACCATGTTGTTTCCTCTTGGAACGAGCACGCCGATTCTGGAACCAATTGTAGACGTTCTGCTCAGCAATCTGGCCGTGTTGGCTCAGCTCTTCTGTTATGTCTTTGATCTTCTGCTTGCTCGGTGTTCCCGTGCCTTGGTCGAATATACGCTCCAGAATCTGAAGCTGCACCGGCGTAGGAGTCCACCTCTGTCTAGCAGTCATCTTGTGACCTACGGATGACATCATTTGGTCTGCATATAGACTTCCCAATCTCCCTCCTGTTTAACACCAAAGAGTCAATAATGAAGTTGAAGCAGAGTGGTTGAAGGTAAACTAAATAAAAACTGAAACTTTATATATCTCAAGAACAAAGCATCAAACAGAAACACTTCTCTGGAGCTCAATTGGAAAATTTAAATGTGAATTCTTAAACCGACTGTGCAATTCCTTAAGAATCTAAGCTAATACCAAATGAAGTTGAAACAGAGTGGTTGAAGTTAAACTAAATAAAAACTGAAACTTTATATACAGAAACACCTTTTCTCAAGCTCAATTGGAAGATTTCGATGTGGATTCTTAAACATATTCTGCAATTCCTCAAGAACCTATGCGAAACCTTTTTCCCCTTCTCTCTAGCTCAAAATTCCATGAAATGTTTGGTCTTTGTAGATTTAAACCGCTAATTACGCCAATAGATTTAAAAAAGGCAGAGAATTTTCAATTCCCCATTTCAGCAAATCGCTTATTTAACCAAAACCACACAAAAAAAATCTGAAAATTTAACATTACAAAACAAACCCTTTTTTCTTTAAAGTGAACAGAGAAAAATGAGGATATCGTTAAGTGGAAGAAGAAAGGAACCTGCAAGATCTTGTTGAGCAGTAAGGGTTTTGTGCATCTCAACGAGACGTTCACAAATGGTGGCGTAGATAGCAATCTGTTTCCTCAGAGTTTCGAGCTGGTCGTCGGTCATCACCTTCACATACATTCCTCCTCCTCCAACGGCGGCGCCGGAGCCACCATTAGCGTCGATCCCCTGAAGATTAGAAGAGTGATGGTTGTTGGGCTGTTGCTGATTGTCCCATTCCATCATCCCTATTGACAGAACTTCCTCTTCTCTTTCTCTGTGTGAATGAAGGAAACAGAGGAAAGTCGGTGCTTTTTGGGGAGTAGAAGGAAAGGTAAAGGCAGAAAAAGACAAGAAAAAGTTGAACTTATATTGGAGTTTTAATATTACTAGTCAAAAGAAAAAGCAAAAAAATAATGTGAGAAATGTTGAAGAAGACGACGGTAATGATTCTTCACAATGATAGTATGATTAAAGGAACCTATTTAACCAACGGTTATTTAGTTTCTATTTTCGAATTTGACCGTTTGAGATTTGTGTTATACAGTTAAACGGCTACTACCATAACAGGATATTTACATTTCCATAGTTGAATGTTATTTTGATTTATAGTTGAAAGTAGCCGTTGCTATTTTATTTATGGAATAAACAAACCGTTGGGGGAGGATTTGGCTATTCTCATTCATCAATGAAGCAAATTGCATTGGTCTAAAACCTTGTTCACAAGAAGTTGTGGTGTGTATTTTTTGAAGAAACTTAAACATGGCTTTGTTTTTTTATCAAGAAAAACATTGAACTTTAAATTTTAGTTACATTTAAATTACATGTATGTATATGGAGAACATTGAACTTTTGTCACACTATTATAGTCACTAAAGAAAGTATGGCACTTTTGTTGGTCAACAGTCAAATTCGTATTAAAGTTGTAAAATAAGTGATAAAGAACATTTGTGACAAAATAAACAACACTTTAATTTTCCTCTTTTCCTGACTGGTTAACTGACATTCCGTTGATTGATAAATTGAGGTTGATCTAACTTTTCTGACACATTTCCAGATTAATGTTTATCTCAATTATTCTATAGAGGGTATTAGCTTCATGCTTCATGCTTTCATCCTTCACCTCGTCTTTTGCAATCCGCTATCATCTAATTCCATAAAGAAATGGAAAACACAGCAGAAAATAAAAATGAAAATCTAAGAAAGAATGGTGGGGCCAGTCAGGACTTGTAAGTTAAGGAGCAGTAGTTTCCACGTGTCAAGTAAACATCAAAACTTGTTGGTGGTCGGTGTCCGCCGCCCATGTTCCACGGGCACTTAGATTTTAATAAGATCTAATCTGAGTCATTTAATTGCCAAATGTTAAAAAAAAAGCAGGAAACTGAAAATAGTTGTCCTTCTTGTTCAAAATACAATGTGACCATGGTCGACAAAAACATGAGAATAAATAAAAATATAAATGTGGTCATGACTCATGCCGTATTGAACTCGAGGGCGTACTGTTTGTCGTAACGTGTAACTCTTCTACTTACAGATTTTGAGCTTTATCGAAGTATTATTAACCTTTTGTACAATTATATTTAAGCCAATGCCTTGCGGCCTAAATTGATCATATTAGGATGGTTTTGAAGTAGTAGTTTATAATCACATTGATTTTTTTTTCGCGTTTCCGTAATTATTTAATTGTCAACATTATGGAAGAAAATGATGAGGTTTGCATGTGCTACATCGAGACCAAACTGTTTTGCATAAACGCCAAAAAGTCCATATTCAATCACCCTTTATTTATCTAATTACGAGCGTAGGCCAAGCTTCTTTGGATTCTCTTTGGCAAAAGCTTCTTTGGATTCTTCCTTTAGATTGGGGAGTTTGGTGTACCTACAGTTCTCTAGACTTCTACACATATTTGATGCTTACTTCTTTGTTATTTTTTTTTTGTTATATGAATTCTACAGTCGTTTTTTATTTTTGTATATAAATATGCTTGAATGAAACCTTGAACTCAAAGTGAAGACATCTTCTGCTTTCTTTCTTTTTCCATTGTCAACGAGGATACCTTCCTGCTTAATTATTGCAACTGTTGCTTAAAATTTAACAATGATCTGGAGACGTGTACATCATCGGAGTTTTAACATGTACAGTATTTATATCATCATAATTCATAAGTTTTATTTGGTGTTTGTGTATTGTGTTTATCTCACTAATTGCATATCCATCCAGGCCCAGACCAGTTACATCTCTTAACAGTCTAGCCCATCGCTTTAATTAATGGTATGATCAAATTGTTGTAATCATCTATCGAAATCCAAACTGGTTTTTTAATATGGCTGATAAAAAAAGCATACTAGTCTACTAGATGAGATGTTGAAACAATCCAGTAGTCAGAAGTAGCCTTGTAATGGACGATGAATCTAATTTTACGGGTCACATGCAGAACAGAGATAATTTGGAATTTGTTTTGCTTTCAACAATTATCATATTTCAAACCAAATATACCAAAATTTTAGTTTTATCTGATGGATTTTGTTTTTTGCAATGCAATATTACGTGTTGGAATCATTGGTTTAGCTGAAAGATATTATACTTTTTGTTTTGTTGGTTAGTAAGCGTTACAATTTTATTGATTTTGATCAAATTGTGGAACTTCACACTAAAAAAAAAATTAGAACCGATTTAACGTTTTTTTTCTTTTTGGTATCATGATTTTTTAATGTCACTACAGTAACCGTTAGTCTATTAATATTTTATCAAGATCGTGTCCCATTAACGAAATATCTCATCGATCAAGATCGTGATGATCATCAATACTTTCATGTCAATATCTTATTCATAATTATGGAATATCCATAGTCTAGTGAAATTTGCTTCGTATGTTCTGACATTAACTTCAATACATAGTCATAACCTGTCTAAGCTTGACCGTTGAAGCATCGATTAATTACTAGACCATGGAATGATATTCAAAACTTCAATTTTCGACATGTACTTGATCGTATGAATTTTGATCAACCATGTCTCTCTCCAATAACTTCCGTTTTCCTAAAATTGATGGTACATGCATGAGACTATGAGAGCTACGATTCACTTAAAGAGGAGTAGATTAGGACGGACATACTAATCAATTCCAAATGGATCCAAAAGGTTGAGAAAGCTCAATAATAAAGTTACTAACTCGGCATTCACCAAAAAAAAGGTACTAACTCGGCTACAAAGTTAAAGAGACCGTATCCGAGAAATGAAATATCACACGATGTACAAAAACACTGTTTTCAGTTTTTGAATAAATTTTACATTATATTAAAAAAAAAAAAAAAAAAGAGAAATGAAATACTGGGGGGATAGGGTCCAACTTTTATCGTTGCTTTGATAAATAACCCAATCCACCTTTTTTTTGTCGGCGAGAAATATAACCCAATCTATTACGTTAAGAATCTCATTTGGAAATGATAAATTGCAAAATTAAATCCGTTTCCAAGTAATTTCATTTATTTATCCAGATGTGGTCGGTGTGGGTCAGAGCTCTCAACGAAACAGTCAGCGTAATCTCTCACCGTCCAACGAAATTAAATCGGACGTTTCTTGTGACACCACGTGACAGAGTCAGATCACCAACTTCAGCTAGAGGGGACCCATGCAAGAGATTAGCGTTTGCCACGTGTAGTGTTTTGACTTGTCACTGAAGAGGACCCTTCTTTGGCTTAAAAGCTTCTTTATCTTTCTTTTACAATGTGTTTGATAGCTTTTACCAAAAAAGTTATAGGAAAATTGCAGTATATAACAATAAAAAAGGCATATTTAACAAACTAACCATACGAAATACATGGTTAGAATATACTGCATATTTTCTGAAATAATGGCAAAAATAACCTTCAATTGACAAAGATAAGAAACTGCAGATAAATTTCAATGGAAACTGACGAAGTGGGATCCGAGCAAAATCAGAACTGAAAGGAGTATAGATTAGAGTTTATGGGTTGATAGGTTGCAACTTGCAACTGAAGAGGGATTTACAAACAATAATTAAGAAACCAAAACCTGTATATGTGTTTCGGTATTCGTCTTCCATGAGAGTCCAAAGATGACGTCATAATCAAATGCCATTTCAGAGGGAGTTTAGTGTCATTTACAGTGAGCCCATGTTATAAAACAAATATAAATTTCACTATGGTTATTTGATTAATTTTGGTGCTCAATATTGTTATTCAGCAAAATCACCCAAAGTTTTATGTTTGTCCAATATTTCTTCGATTTACTTCGATATATTTTTGGGGTCCATTTTCCTTTTGAAGCAAATGTCGTTGATTTTAAAATATCTATATGGTATACAACAGTGCACCAGCTAGATCTAAATTATTGTAAATGCTTTAAAATAGTTACAAAATAAAACAATTAAGAAAATCAAAAACTGATAGTTTTGATCGTGAACGAACGACCCTTGTAATATGCGTCAATTGAATCTTATAGTATGTCGTAATATCTCTGAAGGATTATCAAGTTTACTAGTATAATTTGAGATACTTTCTCTTTTTAATATAGAAAGAGATGTTTTTTTTTACTTAAAAATGTATTGAAATTGGAAATGACTAATCTAAATTCACCCCTCCCATTCAGGAATTTTGACTTCAGATGTAATACGCTATTGATATGTTTCCATTAATGTTAGGGTCTCTTTATGTTATGAATATTTTTTTCTGTCGCTGTTTATAAAAAAAAACTGTCAAAGAACCGTTACTTCTCAACACTCCCTCTTCTTGTTGCTTTTTTCTCTCTCTCTCTCTCTTGTCCGAAAAATTGAACCAAGGATTTGGTGATCTCCCAAACTCTCTCTGAAACATTTCCAGTTTGATCTTCTTCTATTGTCTATCTTTTCTTTGTGTGGTAAAATTCGATTGTCTATCTTCATTAATTGCTTCAAATTTTTTGAATTATTTCACTGTACGATCCATTTTGCGTCTAGACACAAAGATGTTCGTGAAGAAGCTGGTCGAGAAAGCAGCGAAGAAGGTACAAATCTAATCCTACTAATTTCCTTTCCTTTTCTTTTGCTTTTTTTCGTTTTAATCTTCTCGAACTGTTCGGTCGATTGGGATTCTGAGATTCTTTGAAAAGGTTCTCTCTGTGATTCGTTGTTTCCGAAAAAATATCAAATTTCGAAATCCTGAAGGTCACCGTAATCGATGTTAGATCCATTCGATAGAATAATATTTGATTTTTCTTTTTATCCACCTTGGTCTTTTTATTTTATAAAATTCACAAAAGTAATGTACATCAGAATTGTGCTTTGATGATTTAATTTGTAGTTTTGTCGGATTATTACACTGATCTTGTTAGTTATGTTTCTTTGTACTTGTGAATGTGACTGTGATTCTGTGTCGGTCTGTGGTTAGCCCAGATGTTTTAATCCAGATCGACACTATGACTAAAATAAAATTATGACGTAAGACGGATTTTGTTGGCACGCATGTTTCGTGTCCGAAATTTGAAAAGGTCCATTTAATGCCAAGTATCTTTTGACTTTTCTACTTACCCATACATTATCTAAGACTCAAACCGTCCGGTTTAATGTTATCCAACCGAACCGGTAGGCATAGTTCTAGCAAGAACAGAACACAATCATGCAACAATCTGCAGATTCTTACCATTTTGTTTCATTGTTGCAGCCTGGAGGAAGCTCAACGGAAGGGCTGAGAGCTAATGACGTAGAGCCACGTGTCGTTCTACATTATGGAATACCATCAGGAGCTCACTTGTTTGTTTATGATCCATTTCAGAAGATCCTCGCAGTTTCCACCAAGTAAGTGTAACTTAAAATGAACTTTTTTTTTAACATTTATCTCTTCTGCTGTTTTAAGCTGTTTTAATTGTTATACTAATCCTCGGAAATGTGTACTTTTTCAGGGATGGTAGAATCAAATTGTTTGGGAAAGATCAGGCTCAGGCTTTACTAGTGTCAGAAGAAGCATCCGGAAGCAAGTTTCTTGAGGTGTGTTCACTTCTTTATCTCTTTCTTCTCTTTCCTTATTACAACGACAACAGCTTCTTCCTCTAATGTCATAATTCTCCAGTTTGTTCAAAACCAAGGAATTCTTCTCAATGTGAACGCCAAGAACCAGATTGAGGTAAAGACATTTCTTGATTCAACTCAAGAAGTAGTAGCATTTGACTATTTGAGGTTCGGTTCTAAAAAAGTTAAATTCACGCAGGTTTGGAACTTAGACAAGAAGCTTCTGTCTCATGTTCATGCTTTCAACGGCGAGATCACTTCTTTCCGTGTTATGCAACATACTCCTTACTGGTATGCTTCGACTCTCATTCTTCTCTTAGTGTCATTAACTCTGCATAGTTTCTGATAATAAAAAGCTTATGTGAATTATTCGGATTGGCAGCTACGTTGGAGATTCTTCTGGTAATGTTTCCGTGTTGAAGATCGAACAAGACTCTAATCAAGCTATACAAATGGATTACACTATACCTTATCTAGCATCAAATGGTAACTAACAAAACACCTTATATATTCAGTTTATATTTCACTTAGATCGAATCAACATCTTGTTTTTGCATAGGCTCTCCTGTTGAAGCTTCTGATGATACTTCAGTTGTGAGCATCCTACCACAGCCAACAGCTGAAAGCAAGAGGTAACATATTAACACAATCTTGTGCGGTGAAAATCAAGAGAGTGGAGACATTTTAGTCATTTGAAGCTTTTTGCTCTCAATATTTTGAAGGATTCTACTGGTATTTAGTAGCGGGTTTATCACGTTATGGGACATCAAAGAAAGCAAACCGGTTCTGAAAACAGGAGGAAACGTGATGGTAAAGCAAGATTCAAAGAAAGCGACTTGTGCTTGTTGGGTTTGTCCTTCAGGAAGCAGAGTTTCAGTTGGATATAATAATGGAGATATTCTGATATGGAGCATTCCTTCAAAAGGAGAATGCTCTCCAGAGAGCTCTGCTATGGTTTGCAAGCTTAACCTCGGATACAAATCCGAGAAAACACCGATAACTTCTCTGAAATGGGTTCATGCAGAAGGCAAAGCAAGCCGGGTTTACGTCATTGGATCATCCTCAAACTTGTTGCAGGTTGTTTTACTGAATGAGCAAACCGAAACTCGGATGATTAAGTTGGGACTTCATGTATCTGAGCCTTGTGCTGATATGGAGATGATCATAGCTGATGCTAATGAACAGAGCAAGCATAAACAAGATTATCTGTTTGTTCTTGGAAAGTCTGGACGTGTGTACGCTTACGATGATTACATGATAGAGAAGTATCTGGTTCAGTCTCAGTCAAAATCACCTCCTTCTCTCCCAAAGGAAACTGTGATCAAGCTCCCGTTTTCAGATTCTAGCAGCATCACAGTGGGAAAATTCCTCACAAACCCTTCACACTTGCTGAATCTCTCAGACGATGTAATTCTAGAAACTGTGAGATTGTTTTAACAAGATTGTAGAAATGAAATGAATATTGTTGCGTTTGTGATTCAGGATTATGCTCAGCTGGCGAAAGATGCTGTGCCGTTTCTTCCTTTTCAGACAGTTCCAAAGGAAAATTCTCGTTCTGCACACTTTCCTGGTTTCACAAAGGTTAAGAATGTTTACATCACAGGGCATTGTGATGGAACCATTAGTGTATGGGACATGACTTGTCCTTTTCCCATTCCTGTCTTGTTCTTGAAAGATCAGGTAGAGATTTCAAGGACTCTTTTTGTAACTTTTGCTTTCTCAAATGCATATCTTTTTTAAAGTATGTTTTGCCTTTGTTCTGTGTTTCTTAGCAGACTGATCAAGATACATCTTCACGCGGAAATGCGGCTTTGACAGCTTTGCATTATGACAGCAACACAAGACTTCTTGCTTCTGGTGATCAGAACGGAATGGTTAGTAAAAAGCATCTTAATCCAATACATGTTGTGGAATAGAAGCTTATGATTGATTTTAACCTTGCGCAGGTTCGCCTTTATAGGTTAAAACCTGAGCCATACCTAACAGAAAACAGTTTTATTCCTTTCCAAGGTTTGTTTAAAAAAAAGCAGATAGAAGTTGGTTTTACTACATCATGTGTTTTTCATATACTGATATTATTTCGTTTGCAGGAAGCTCAAAGAAAGGGAATAACCATATTGTTCAAAGTGTTAAGAACATAAAGCTTACTGGTTCCATAAACTGTATTCAGAAAAGCCATAACTCGAAACATCTCGCTATTGGCTCAGATCAAGGGCATGTAAGTTTGTGCTTATTACTTGTAGGTTTTTGCTCGTTGATGTGATTTGTTGCGTTAATACTGGTTTTACTTGCAGGTTTCTCTGGTCGACATTGAGGAAGCAACTGTGTTATACACAAAACACATTGCAAGTGATATCTGCTCAGGGATCATCTCCTTGCAGTTTGAGAGTTGCAGTGTGCAAGGATTCGAGAAGAATGTGCTAGTGGTTGCTATGAGGGACTCATCAGTTTTTGCTCTGGACAGCGACACAGGAAATATGATTGGAACCAACATGATTAAGCCTAAAAAACCATTCAAGGCTCTGTTCATGCAGATCCTAGGTAAGTCCACATCTCCCTCAGAGTTAATAACACCAAAATCAAGAATCTCAATGATTCTTCCCACCTTCATTTGCAGACGGAAAACATGAAAATGGAAATGATGTGAGCAGAGAGGGCATAGTTGAGGATATTTCAACAAGGCAGCCTTCGGTTTTGATTTGCTCTGAGAAAGCTATATATATCTACTCCTTGGCTCAAGTTGTACAGGTACATCAATCGTCCGGTTTAGTGATCTCTTTATATCATTTTTCTTGGATATTCATTTGCTTTCTGTAAGTTTCTCTCAGGGAGTGAAGAAGGTGCTTCACAAGAAAAAGTTTAGTTCTTCATCAATATGCTCAGCTTCTACCTTCCATGGAGCCTCTGGTGTTGGCCTTACGCTTGTTTTCTCAGATGGAACTGTTGAGATAAGGTGAAACCTTTTGCCTTTTTTTCAATCTTTCTTCATTTTAGCAAAAATACTAGCTCTTAACGCTTTGACTTGCCTCAGGTCTTTGCCAGAACTCTCCCTGCTGAAACAAACTTCCATTAGAGGATTCACATATTCTTCACCAAAACCAAACTCATTACCTGAGATGACCATTTCTTCTTCTTGGGATGGAGATCTAGTCATGGTACTACTCTTCAGAACACACATTCTGCAAACCAGTAGTAGTTGAAGTACTTGTGCTGGCTTTCATGATCATTGTCAACTTTCTCTTTGCAGGTGAATGGCGACGAGGAACTTATTGTCAGCTCAGTTTTACCTCAGAAAGACACATTTAGGTAAGACTTGGTGCTCTTTTGGTTACATCCATAACATATAGATGGAACTAAAAAGTCTGAAACTTTGGTTCTAGGCTTGTGGAGTCCTTGAGCCGAGTTTACAAGAAAGATAATGCGGTTTGTTACGAAGGCATCACCACATCAGGGGCTGTAACATCTCCAAAGGAAAAGAAGGTGAAACAACAACATTGATTTCTATCGTTTTCTGTTACACACAAAAAAACACGAGTATGAGTAGTAATTCATCTCTATCATGTTTGTTACAGGGAATGTTTGGTTCTGTCTTCAAGAGTAAACCAAAGCGGACGGTTGATACAGAAACAGAAAGCCCCAAGGAAATTGTTGAGGAGCTGTCTAAGATCTTTTCCTCAGCTAATTTCCCGTGGAACAACAACAATGTTGAGAGTAGCAGAGAGAGCAATGCAGTTATGAAAGTTGACGAGAATGAAGAAGAGTTGGACATAGGTGCGGTCCACTTTTGATGTCCTTTATGATGCAATAATTGAGTTTGGCATAGGTTTTAAATCCTTTGGTTTTTGACGTTTGAAGATGACATTGACATTGAGGATCATCATCAACCTCATCAACAACAACAACAAGAGCAGCCTAAAGAACAAGGGATATTGTCAGGGATTAGTAAACAGAAGCTGGCGAATAAGTTTACCGTCTTCAAAGGTAAGCTAAAGCAGATGACTGCTAAGAATGACAAGAGTGTTGTTGCAACCAATGAAGAGAAACATGAGGAGAAAGGCGGCAACAGTGTCGATCAGATCAAGAAAAAATACGGGTTTGCTTCCTCAGATCAGGATATGGGAGCTGCTAAATTGGCTCAGAGCAAACTTCAAGACAACCTGAAAAAGTTACAGGTAACATTTTACTTGATTCATGGTTTAGCCTCATCTTTCATTGATTCAATTGGAGACTTAAGATCCATTTTGTATATCTGCAGGCAATAAGCTTGAAGACTACGGAAATGGAAGACACTGCAAAGTCTTTCTCTTCTACAGCTAAGGAATTGCTTAGTGCTGTTGAGTTCAATAATAGACAGAGCTCAAAATCTTAACACTTTTTTTTCTCTTCGGTGATTAATCTTTTACTTGAACCACAGTTATCTTCGTTTTGCTTGACAATACTGTAAATAGCTTCGTCAAAGTTATACTATTACAGCTATGTGGATTTCAACTTCTTTTGAGCATATTGTATAAACTGTTTTCAACTTCTTTTGAGCATATTGGATAAATCGAAGTAATCTCAACTGATTCAATTCAGCATATTGTAGACAAATGTCAAACTCTAAACCAACTGATTCAATTCAACACAGATGAGAACAACATTGAAATGCTTCCAGAAGGAACAAAATTCCCACAAAATGACAAGAGACGAGAACAAATATCAGACAAAAATAGCAGCGTATAAGACTTTCCACCAATCATAGCGAGCGAAATTAAGTGAGAACATAAAAAAAATCAGAGGCATGAAAACACCATATGATATCATACCATTAAAAAGTAAAAACGAAGCTCAAAAGCTAAATCCAAAGTTAACATAAAGAAGTTTGAAGAAGTACATAGGAAATAAATCCCAGTTAACATAAAAAAAGGGGAAAATATAGCACCAAATGTAACTATTCTTTTTCCCTAAAACTAGCTAACACATAACAACATAAAATACTTCATACACATATCACTCCTCCATCCTTCTTAATCATCATCTTCCTCCTGTAAATAAAAAACAGCTCCATGTCAAGATCAAATAAGAGTCACAACACTAACAACAATCATAACGAGATTCTTTAAAACACAAAGCCACAAACCTCTTCACTTCCACCTAATTCCTCATCGTTGACTTCGGACTTGGACTTGTCAGAGTCATCATCTCCAGTTGTTTTGGTTCCATTAGCCTGTGAGAGAAACAAAAAACATTCCAATTATTTGGCAACAGCAGAGCAAAAGCCAAATAAAATAGGTCAACAACAACAAAAAATGAGTAAGCGACGTCAAATTTGAATTACCAGTTTCAAGTTGTATTGTTTCATCGTCTTCTCATAATCACTCTTTTTGGTCGCCGCCTTCTCCTGATAAGGCGCTTTGTCCTGTTCCATTCGATTCAGAGTAACGAATTGAGTGCAACAGATCTACGATTCGAAACGATTCAACACAAAATTTCAAAAGAACAAAAAAAAGCCTAACACTCACTTCATCAGTCATCGATTTCCATTTCGCTCCAGCAGCTTTACCAACCTAATGTTCCAAATTCGAAATTGAATAAAATAGCAAAAAACTAAGATCCATATCGGAGAGATTGTAAATCTGAGATTCCGACTTACAGCGCCGACGGATTTGTTGTCAGGGTTGGCTAGATTGAACTCCTTTCGGAAGCCCTCCCTTCAATCACCGAAAGCAATTAGCAAAATCAGTAATCCAAAACATCAATCAATTGAGCAAAATTGCGAGGAAAATGAGATTTGAGAGTTTACAGGAAGACGAAGAAAGCACTCGGGGGTCTCTTAGGCTTGTTTGGGTCCTTCACTTTCTTCCCAGCTTTCTTACCTCTGGTTTTCAATCTGAGAACCAGAAAATCAAATTGAGGAGAGAATTTGGAAATGCGGAAACGAAAATGAATCTCAGATTTGGGATTTTGGATGAGATACCTGCTATCGGTGCTCTTCGGCCCAGCTTTGGTTTCACCACCTTTCATCTCGAGATCTGCGGCAGAGGAAAAAAAATGAGAAATCGGAGGAGAATCGGTGACTCGGATTTGACTCAGACGGACGCGGTGAGAGAAGCGAGTTTTTACCTGTGAACCGTTAGGGTTTTTGTTTGACGAGAGAGAACGATTGAGATTTTTTTTTTTTGTGCCTTTGTTTCGATGTGCTGTGAATTCGTGTATTTAAAGTAATTCCAGATTTCCAAAGATTTCTTTTACTAAAAAAATTTACAATCGAGTGATGTGGCGGGATTTGCCAGGTAGATAATTAAGATTTGGTACTTCGAATCTTGACCGTTCATGTATCCAACAGTCTCCAGATTCACTCGTGTTAATTGTGTTGCCAAATCTGAAAATTCTCGCGCCACGTAATTTTGTAATGTGTTTTAAAAATTTTTAATACAAATTTATATCATAGTGTTGGTGTAGTGACTATCTCGAGCATTGTTTCTGCCCAGAATTTAACATTTCTAATTTTTGTATGTCTCCTATTAACACACTCACTTACTCCTCTTGAGATTTATGAGAAATGATCAATAATTAATGGCAAGTAAATACAATCAGTTTCTTAAGTGTTAGTAGTACTATATGGAGTAAACACTAATCTTTTATCTGGAGTGAATACAAAGCATATGTTTGTGTCATTGTGTGGTAACCAAAATTTCATTTATAGCGTTGTCTATTATGCATAAAACAAAGACTTCACATTACAAAAAAAAATATATCAACATCCCAAACTATTCCTTCTTATCTTATAGACGCGAAAGATTCGAACCTACGGGAAAATAAGACATGATGATCGGACCTCTCGGAGATTCGGATTTGCTTTTTGGTTTCTTTAAGGACAAGACTTTCGAGTTACTCTCATCGGATGAGCTAATCCTTGAGCCTGAGTTTGAAACGAAGCAGCCAAAGAAGAACGCGAAGAGAGACATGACTGGAGTTTTTAAAAACAGTTGCTGAGAGAGAGAGAGACTATATACGATGTATGTTGCTTTGGTTTGCTTTCAGGCAACTATGAGAAGGTTATGTATTTATAAGACAAATATCATCGTTGAATATTCTTGCCTTGGACACGTTTTTTCGAAAGTGACTTCTCTAATCTTGCTCGCCAAGCTTTGCGCCTTTTATCTCCATATATCATTGACAATGCATGCTTTTGAGTCTTCTGTACTCTTAAAATATGATGCCAACATACACCAACTAATGATATCACGAGAAGCCAACATAGACCAACTAATGATATCATGACATTTGTCACCTGATATTCCGAAATTTTAAGATTAATATTGGTGCCATCGCCTTCATAACATTTTCCAAAAATTTCAGTTTTAAAATTTGGAGTCGTTAATTCCTAGTCGCCTATCTGAAAATAGACAAACACTATCAGAAATTGTGATAGCGGATGTGCGAAGATAAACATAAATTTAAGTGGTTCACCAACAATATGTTAGTTATGTGATCAACAAAAATTAATCACTTTATTGTTGATAGAGGCGAAAATCAGATTCATCCCAATCCTAGATCCAAACGTACGTGGGCTGTAGTTGTATTCCAAAAAAGCCCAAACCCAAACTATGGCCCATTATAAGAATACCTCATACCGTCAAATTCTTTCATCGGCCGTAAAAAAAATTTACATTTTTCCAACAGAAAAAAAAAAGTGGAAAAAGAGATGAGGAAATCAATAATTTACCAAATCGGAAAAGGGTAGTCAAAATGCCTAATTATTCTCTAAATTCATTTACCAAATTCAACCTCTACAGAATCTATGCTACTAAAAGAATATCGCTTGCCACCTTTCAGACATGCGTCGCGCGTGTGAATGGACTTTGATGTTGATGTGACCCACTTAGATTTTTACATAGATACCCTCGCACGCTCCCTCCGCACTTACACGTGCGCTCGCGAATCTTCTGTAACCGAGGACAACAAAATGTAACCCCTTTGTCCAAGTGGTTTGACTGGTAATTAAATTGTTAAACCAAGGGCGTTTTACAACACTCTCTTTAAACCCTTTTTTTCACTTTCACTTGATGACCGAACGCTTTTCTGTTCCTGTAATAAAAAGCCTTGGATTCTTCTGCAGATTTGGTTTACATAAAAAAGGAAACATATTTATAAAAATAAAAATTTAAAGTCTCTTTTGGTTAAAATCTCCGTCTTTGCTTGCGACTCTTCATCTTCTTCGGGACAATGGCACATTCCTTAACCTCACTCGCTGTCTTCCAGAGCGTCATCCGCAAAGGTAAGTTAAGCCAACCACTGAGGAGAATCTCGATTCGGGTCGGGTCGGGTATTGAAAAGCGGGTCGTGTTTTGTTTGCAGAGATGATGAGGAGTTTGCATGTGTACGGATCTGTGGCGATTGAGAGAGAGTTCTTGTTCGAAAAGAAAAGCCGTTATGTGGAGAAGGAAGCGAAGCCGGTCTTGTTCGAAGGTCTCCGGCGGCCGGAGATCTCGGAAGGCTCTCTCTTTGGCACGTGGCGATGTATTTTCTTGTTCCGGTTTAATCACTCCCTTTCTCGGTTTCCTACTCTTCTCTGCCTTTCAAGGTAACGCCTCTCTAGAGAGCTTTGACTCGTTTCGCCGTTACCTTCTCTTAATTTTTAAATTCTGTTGCGTTTATATTAATCACCATTTTGCAAATTAATTTCTTTTATAAATCGGGTCTTGAAATCGAACTCTAGATTAATACTATTTCCTAGAGTTTCAGTCTTATTGATTCCAAGTTTGTCAAATAGAGAGGACAAATAGTTGAAGGCAGGCAATCTTTCATATATATAAAAATTAAATTACGTGACAAATGGAATATAATTAGGATGTGAGTACCAAAAACAAAACAAAAATTGGAAATTGTGGGTCTACCACGTTAGTAATGTCCTACTACCGTTCTGTGGGGATGAGATTAATTTAGTTGAAGAAATGTTTGTAATTTAGTTATCTTTCTTACTTGCAACTTGTTTTCTTCTAATTAGTACTTTGTGCCACAGGCAACACCACAAAATCTACATATTTTCTTCACCTTTAATCACTTCCACAAGTCTTTATATTATTTTTCAGGTGTTCGTAATTACTGATTAGACCAAAAACTAGTGTTTCTGTAATAAGTTTTGATCTGCCGATTGACGTGCTTAGAATATCCTCTTATTGTAAAACACATTTTAGTGTTTTTGACTTGTCCACATTCTTAAAAAACCCTATCAATGCCTTTTCAATCTTATTATTGACAGAAACCCTAAGCTGGAGGACATCCCTAATCTGGCCAATGACCTCAAGTTTATTTCCGAGTTTAAACCATCAAAGATGTCTGACCAGCCTAAACCTAAACCTCGAAAGCTCGTCCTTAAACAAGATCTTAACTGCCTTCCTAATTCAGAAACTGAATCCGATGAATCTGAAGATGACCAACTTGAACATTCGGAATCAGGTATCTTCTCCGACCCTACTGAATTTTATTTTCTTTAAAAATGTCAATAAACTTATTTTTCTGATGAGTTATAACTCTTGGCTAGTTTTTACGCATTTGGTGGTTAATTTCGAGATAATGTTAAAGTACAGATGCTAAGACAGAGATGTTGAAGAAGAAGAAGAGGACACCATCGGAACATATTGCCGGACTTTCCCTGGAAGATCTCTCCAAATACTTTGGTGTTACTATCGTGGAAGCTTCTCGGAATCTCAATGTCGGCCTCACTGTCTTGAAAAAGAAATGCAGAGAGTTTGGGATTCTCCGGTGGCCTCATAGGAAGATCAAATCTCTCGACAGTCTCATCCACGACCTTCAGGTCTTCTTTCTCTTTCTCTCTCTCTCTCTATTAAGCTGATACTTCAGTTCACTGACAAGCATTGCTATGTTTTGTATTGCTTAGGAAGAAGCAGAGAAGCAGCATGAAAAGGACGAAGCAGCAGCAATGGCTGTAGCTAAGAAGAAGAAGCAACTGGAGAGAGAGAAGAGAAAAATGGTGAAGAGACCAGGCATGGAGATAGGGATAGAAACTAAAAAGGTCAGGCAAGACAACTTCAAAAAGAGACACAGAGCTTCCAGAGCCAAGAAGAATCAAGAATCTCTTGTCCCTTCCTCTTCCATCTAAAGGTTTTAGGTCGTTTAACAGAAACATCGAACATATTAGTTAGCTAGGATATATCATATATGTGGAATGTTTTGGTATGTAGCATTTGTTAGTGATAAATCTAACAGATCGTAAGCCATGTTTCTTTGAAAATGCTTTTTTTTTGGCCCAAGGAGTTCCAAGGAAGAGAGGAACTCTTGTATCATGACTTTTGTAATCGGTATTAATCTTCTTGTTTTGGATAATGCAACTAGGTCGAATTTGCTTAAATGATAACGTGTGGTGAAAGACCAGACCCATTTGACCAAATCTTGGTTTCTTAATTGAGCTAGATTAACACATGGAACTTTAAAAACAGCGATGATAATGTTAGTTAATGCAAGTAGTACTCTCGAGTGGTCCCTTTTGTTAACTCGTGTTTTGAAAATCTACAATGATCCTGTGTCCACATAACAAAGACCATTAGTTAACGTGTACCGTACAAATGGGTTCGATTCTTGGGAGACCACTTCAAGTGTGAATGGGTGAGTGTTTCTGTGTCTATACTGAAAGCACGTTTTTGTTAAAACGCTATGAATTTTGAATACGTGGATTCAAATTTCGTTTTCTTCCAAGCTGGCACTTTTTACGCGGCCGAGTATCATTTTATAGTCCTTTTCAATGCTTTCAATCAAAATTTGTGTTTCAACGTGGAAGCGTTCTTCCACGAAATTATAGAAGTTCAATTCAACTCTTATCTTTCCCAAAGAAACCAAAATCGAAAAATAATAGCAGTATTAGCTTTTTCGCTTTTCAACCCTTTTAAGGGCTTTAACCAAAAAAAAAAACACAGTTTCAGTAGATGTGAGAATTGCCCTAAAGAAATGACATTATACTGTACGCTTTTTTTTACCAGTAGACTAACATAGGAACATCTTTGACAAAGCGAAGAAAATAAATTCACCTACCCACGCTTGATATTTTAGAATTTGATGTTCCCTAATTAGGAAACAAATTTATTTCAGAATAACAGAAATCGAATGAATACTTGTGGAAAAGAAATGAATAAATTCCACACAGACAAATACGTCCCCCCACCCCCCAAGCGGTGAGACTTCAAGGCTGACTTTTAAGAATTTGTTTATAAAAAGGAATGACTTTTTACGTTGTGTTTCACATTTCTGTACACAATAAGAAAATTCCAACTGCATATATTACATTGCATGCACATTCTCTAATGGAAAATCAATAGATTGGAAGTTTTCACATTCAAGAAACTAATCGAACAAAGTATTCTAGTAGAATTTCAGGCACAAGACTATCAGTCAAATTGACTCTCAAATCATAAAAGGAAAAATATTTAACAGAGAGTATTTTATTTGACATATAGTTTAGTACTCAATTTTTTTTCTGTTATTTCACTAAAAAAGAGTAGAAATCAAATATAATTAAACTCAACGTTAATTTATGTCACAGTGTAGGTATATATTTAGGTCATTAGCATTCAAAGTAACAAGTTGAAATATAAAGGATATGGAGTAGATTAGTGCAAGTTTTTGGTCTCAGATCACGAAAATAGTGTGGATTAATAGCACCCATAATTACTTGGTTACCTAGTTTTTTAGAAATATTTTATTTTCATACTAATAAAATTGAATAACTACTGTGATGGGCACATAAATTCTAAAAAATGTGAAATAATCAAATAACTATAACCAATTTAAGTAAAAACTAATTCCTGATTTTTGTTTTTATTTTCAGATAAAAACGATCATAGATTGAAAAAGCTTTGGCTAGGATATTTTACTCGGTCGATCTTCTTGGCATTTTCGTATACAATTTTAGTTCTTTTTGAATTCTTGGCAATTAAAAAAGAAATGCATAAAATAATGACATATAAGACCAAAACATGGACATTGTCATATATCAAGAATGGTGGGTTCCTCGACCTCCTCCTCCTCCTCCTGCTACCCTTTAATAATTTAGTTACCACCTAACAAAGAAAACCTTCTTCTATCCTTCAAAATTTCCCTTCATCTTCCTTTCCTCTTTCATTTATTCGAAACTCAAGCAATAAAAGCTACTTCAACTCCTATCTCATCCACTAGCATAGCTCTTGTCTGAATTGGTGAAAACAAGAAACAGAGGAAGAAGAAGGAGGAGGCTAATGAAAAATGGGCCTTTGTTTTTCATATCCTTCCTCTGCTTCCAAAACAGGTCTACACAGTCACGGTAATCTCCATATCCATCAAACTCTTCTTCAAGTTCTTGTTTTTCGATTCTCTCTCATGAGACCTAAAAGATCTTTCACTTTCTCATCTCTCTCTGCCTTTGTGATTGATCAGCCTCGACGAACCACCACAGTAATGGAATAGATTACTCGTCGTCAACGGCAGCTACCACCGGCAGCAGCGTCGAAAGACGGAGCCAATTCTCTGAGGTGGCGAGCGAGACTTCCGGTGGGACTTTGAGCAACTCCGGTCTGTTATTGGAATCGCCAAATCTCAAAGTGTACAGCTTTCTGGATCTAAAGACGGCAACCAAGAACTTCAAACCGGATTCGATGCTGGGTCAAGGAGGTTTCGGGAAAGTTTACAGAGGTTGGATCGATGCCAAGACTCTTGCTCCGTCTAAAGCCGGTTCCGGTATTACCGTTGCCGTCAAAAGATTGAATTCCGAGAGTGTTCAAGGATTGGCGGAGTGGCGAGTAAGATCTATAAACTCTCTAATTTCAACAAACATTTGCCATTTTGATGTCTTTTTTGACGATAAAACTAAATTAAAATCCAATTATTACGGAATTCGATCAAGAGATGAAGAGTTGACTATTCTAATCAACAAACGACCTTGACTTCCTGTTGCAGTCTTGCAGGATGATTAAAGAAATATTTACAGAATTTTATAATAAATAAAGGGAATGAATGATGTTTTGTATTATGATTTAGGAAATTAACACTTTCAAATATAGGCATCAGTGGAAACTTTTTAATAGTAGTTGTTTAAGTTATTTTACCAATTGTCTAACACACATTCATTTATAATGGTTTGAAATTGACCACCTACTCTTTTTTAATCTGAAGATAATTTTGTATACATCATTAGTTTGGAAATTCCCAATGTTACCGGTCTATGAGCTGGGACACGTTGTTACATGTTACTACTAGATACTAGCTATAATATTATAATCAAAGTACTATTATTCATGTAACATCATAATTTAAAATTTGTAAAAGTTTTCTGGATTCTTTAGCAACGGTTAGTTAGAAATATTTTTTTTTAAGTCCTTCATCTTTCGTTTTATGTTTTGACAGGAGAAAATTAATCTTCATGTTAAATAAGCTAATTTTGAGATTTGTGGTTTGTCTATGTTTTTGGACAGTCAGAAGTGAACTTCTTGGGGATGCTTTCACACCCAAATCTGGTGAAGTTATTGGGATACTGTCGTGAAGACAAAGAGCTCCTGCTTGTCTACGAGTTTATGCCCAAAGGGAGCCTTGAGAATCATCTTTTTCGACGTAATTAAAATCTCTTAAACCCATCCATCTTTATAACAGAATTGATTCCATTCAAAATTTAATTTACTTTGCATGATTGTCAATTAACTAGGAAACGAGCCTTTTCCTTGGGACCTAAGAGTGAAGATTGTGATCGGAGCAGCACAAGGCCTTGCGTTTCTACATAGCTCACAAAGAGAAGTCATCTATAGAGACTTCAAAGCCTCCAATATCCTCCTCGACTCGGTTAGTACATAATTAAAAAATGTAAAGTATTCGCAGTACATGAGAGTTTCTAAAGGGACAAGTTTGATATATATATGGATATGCACAGAATTACGATGCAAAGCTATCGGATTTCGGATTAGCAAAGCTAGGACCATCAAACGAGAAGTCTCACGTTACGACTAGGATCATGGGCACACATGGTTACGCTGCTCCTGAATATATGGCAACAGGTAAATACATAATGCATAAACTATGGTTTATGTGGTACTGTTTAGGTTAGGATCACACATCGAAAATGAGAGAGATAAAACATTAGTTTATTTTCTTAATCCTCAGGACATTTATACGTCAAGAGTGACGTATACGCATTCGGTGTGGTACTACTAGAAGTAATGACCGGGCTAAGAGCGCACGACACGAAACGGCCTTACGGACAAGAGAATTTAGTCGACTGGTTAAGACCAGATCTCTCAAGCAAACACAAAGTGAAACGACTAATGGACAAAGGAATCGAAGGTCAATACACAACCAAAGTGGCGACCGAAATGGCACGCATCACTCTTTCTTGTGTCGAGCCAGACCCGAAAAATCGACCGCACATGAAGGACGTACTCGGCGTTCTCGAACATATCCAACGGATCAACGTTCCGAGCCGTTTTTCCTCTAGGCCGGCCGTTGCTAGCTCTTCTCATGCGTCGCCACGTCATCGGTATGGATATAGAGCTGGTGCTGCCGGCGCTGAACGGAGGAGGCCTTCGCCTGGACGGTTTGGAGCAGATAAAGATATGGATGGTTAATTATTTTTTTTCCCGGCGGTATGATTGTATTGTTTGGATGTATGCTGGTTTAGAATGAGAATATTTATAATTCATTTTGTGAGGTAATTATTGAAGTATGTGGGATATAATCACGCTTTCTTCTGTACTTATATTCCACTCCATTTCCTTTTCTTTTTTTTCAGTTTCAATTTGATATGATGTAAACAGCTTAAATAGTTAGTTGCCATAAACTGACGCACTTTATGCGGTAGTTATTTACAATCTTTCCAAATTATTGCAAACGGTGTAAAGAAACAGCTAATATGCTAAATTAAAAACGAAATCTTATATTCCAAATTGTTGCAAATGTTACAAGCAGTAACAACAAAATAAAAAACCTATTCCGAAGAAAAAGAATAAAATTAAAAGAGTTATAGAAAATAATAAATAATATAAATGTGTTGCAAGTTATAGTTTCACTTGGCTTTATCCTCTTCCTCTTCTTCATCTTTCGGTGGAGGCTTGTTAAGATCAAACTTCGCAACCGATCCAGATTCATTCATCTTCTGATCATCTTCCTCCACTGGATCCACATTCAAATCAAACCCTCTCCCACCTTCACTTCCCGAAGCCCCACCACCACCACTGGCAGCAACAGAACCACCGGAGCTTCCTACTCCGGCAGTAACAGGAACAAAAGCAGAGTTTGGTCCCGGAATAGTAAACGTTTTGGCGACAGAAAACTTGTGAGGAGGATGAAACCCTAGATAGTTTCTATTCTTGTGAGACCTCAAGTGTCCAAAAACAGCCTTCCACGAACCAAACACTCTTCCGCAGATGTTACAAGTTGGTGGTCCTTTTGGTAGACTGGTCGATTTCGAAGACTTCTTCTTAGGATTTTTCGCCTCTACTGCTTTGCCCGAACCACTCGCTCCATCGTTGATCTTCATCGTCTTCATCGTCTTCCTCGGTCTACTCACTTTCTTCTTCATCTTCTTCTTACCATCACTCCTCTCTTTCATAACTGCTTCCTCTGCCGCAGCCATAATCAACTCCGCCTCAACAACCGCTTGCTCGTTCAAACTCGCTTCTTCTACCGCAACAGCACTACTCACACCGAATCTTTCGCTGCTGATCCTCAAAGCAGGGAGGGCGAGAACGATTTCTCTCATGGCAGATTCTTCATCGCTCCATTTCTCATCAGATTCTTCCTTCTCTCCATCAGTATCATCCACTTTCATTTTCTCCGGATTGCTCATCTTGTTTTCTTTTCACTCCACTAAACTTATTACGTGAAATTGTACTGACGAAGTCTTTAAATAGCTTTCTTGTGAGCCACGGCGGTTTTGGGCATTAATTTCAAATGGTTGTGTTCATTCGTTTAGATCTCTCTCCCGCCTTTTCGATTGACGATTTGCGTCCGTCGGATTCAATTAAAAACATACACGTGTGCTTCGTCTGGGTTAAATCGCGTAAACTCAGTGGGCTTAATGACGTGTAAAGCCCATTTGTAACTTTCGTACTCGTACGTTGCTTCAGTATATTTTGATGATTCAACTTATCGAACAACCCTTTTAGTGATAAATACTGTGAATTAGACGTTAATTATTCATGATTCATACACATTTCTTAACGACTCACAAAGACCAGCTAACGTCTAACGAGACTTATATCTTCCTTTTTCTTTTCTTGTCCAGTGTGGTTTTTTTTTTATCGGACCGACAATGGAGGAGAATGCAAGAATCGTTGCACTAAATAACAAAATTTAAATTTCCCTATTTTATATGCATGTGATGACATCTGACAGTGACGTGACTTGTAAACTTTTCATCGTCCCTATATTATTACAGTTAATGTTTTATCACATTCGTTTTCTATTTAAAATTTGAACGCTATTTGTATACAGAATAGTACCATCTAAAACTGTAATAAGATATTTCATTGTCAAGGAAGCTTTTGAAGATATGTAACAAATCACATTACTAATTATATACATACATCATTATTGTACTATACTTGAAAGCCTTTTTATAACTTTTACAAAATTTACCCAACAAAAAGGTTATGAAACTAGTCTATCAGTGGTAAGTGATTAATTAAAGCTATTTTCAACTGAACTCAGTTAGTGGAACGAACAAAAAGTAGTATGAGTTGACTACCTTTGAATAGTATAGTTGCACTAATAAATCAATAATTTACGACCAATGTCTACGTGTAATGCAATTTCTATCAAATTCTTACTCAATCGTCTAATGCAACATTTAATGTCTACTAAATCAATGCATATTGATGTAAATACATCTCCATCGATGTATATTATTGATTTCAATGATTTAGCAGTTGTGCTCATGAGCCAGTAATTGCCAGGTCAATGGTTAACCATATTTTCAACGACGATGTTTTAAAAAACTTTACCGCTTTAATTTTTCTTTAAAAACAAAAAAAAAAATCTGACAGGGAAATAACTTTGTTTTTTAAAATTATTTTCACTCAACACCGTTCATATTCAAAACTAAGATATTCAGTATCCAAAAAATCGAACAAATCAGAATAGATCTGAATTCAGATTGAATATATTAATAATTTGTCCACGCCTATATGTCCACCTTAAATGTTACATTCCTAAAAAGTCGAACACATGAAATCTGAGCAATTTTTTTATAAGTTACTTCTTTAGTTATTTGTTGATGGATTGGATGGTAACAAACTTATGGAGTAAAAGTTATATTTTCATTCATAATGTTAACTACTTGAAACAATAAAAAACGATGTTGACCAAAAACAAAGGAATTCAATCACATTGTATTCCTAGTCAAATGTGTTACCGATTTACGATATATCATCATTTTTACTAGTTTTTGCCAAGTTTATTAATGTGTGATATTTAGGAAACAAATGTTTTAATTATATCTTTTGAATAAAATCTGGACTGAAATCCAACTTTGAATAGTCTTCTAAATAAATATAGATAAAAAATATATAAGATTCTAATATGTAAGATACACACTATACACATTGAATAACAAAAACAGAAAGATAATCACTTTCTAATGATCTCATTCTATGGAGAGGAAAATCCAATTCAAATACTTATGACAAGTACTCTCATCTAGCCTGATTTTTGGATATCTCTAAATTGAATACTAAAACTAAAATGGCAAGAACAGGGTCAGCATAATTCTCGGTAGCAATAACACTTTGGAAAGAGAGCAAATTCTAAGCTCTGTAAATACAGATTAATAAGCTAAGATTATGAATTTAATAATGAATATGTTGACTTTAACTTGTTAGAGACGCGCCCTATGGAGAGACTAGTGGCAACGAGCCTTCTTTGTCTGTAAAAGGCAACAAACAAAAAAAAAGGAATAAATAAATTTGAAATGAGAAAGCCACATGCCCAATCTCTTACCAAAAAGTTACCGTTGGCTTAGACAGAGTTAGAAGCAAATCGTTTCCTTCATGATCCAACGGTCATCTTAATCACCTAGCCGTTGCTATTTTCCTTAATTAAAAAAAAAAAAAAATTAAAGTTCCTACCTTTCTTTATTTTTGTTTTCCTCTGTCTCTCTCGCTTATTTCATCCCTTTCTCTGACTCTGATTCAATTGCATCAGACGTAGTCAGAGAGAGAAAGAGAGAGATTTCTCTTCGTTTGATGTTCTTCTTCCTCTAGTGATTCCTGCAATCTTCTCCAGGAACAACCCAATCGAGAAAAAAATGGTTAATCCAGTTGAGAACAATCTTAATATCGTCGCCGAACCCATTACAGAGATTGTTCAAGGTAGTTAGTTAAACGCGTTCTAATCTGAGAATTCTAGGTGTCTCAAGAACAGAGAATCTGATAAAAATCGTTTTTTTATTTTCTTTGTTAGATGAAACGAGAAGCAGAAAGTTGGGAATAGAGATGAAGAGACAGAACAGAAGAGCATTGGGTGTGATTAATCAGAATCTCGTCAGTGCAAAAGCGTATCCTTGCGTTGTTAACAAGAGAAGAGGCTTATCTGAGTAATTTACTAAACTCTTAAAAATCTCAAAGTTGGTGTCTTTTTATTCAATTCTGTTTCAAAAATTCATAACTTTTGGGGACTTTTATTGGTTTTTTGCACAACAGGAGGCAACAAGAAGGATGTGAGAAGAAGAAGATTGATTCGTTACATCCCTCACTTTCAAGGTTAATAAAGCTTAAACCTTTAAAAGACATTTCTGTTTGTTGCGATTGATAAAGAGAGAGAGATCTGAGATTTGTTTTTTTTTTTGAATTTGTGCAGATCTCAAGAAGAGGTGAAGAAGCTGAAGCCATCGATCCCAAGTGGAAACGAGTTTGGTGATTGTATATTCATTGATGACGATGAAGAGGAGGAGAATGAAGCTACATTGGACCAACAACCTATGCCAATGTCACTGGAGGAACCTTACTTTGAATCTGATTCAATGGTAATTACTAATTAGTAATGAATTTTAATGTAAGTTTAGCTATCTATTGTGTAATAATACTAAAGGAACTTTCAATTTGGATAGGAGGAAGAAGTTGAGATGGAGGATATAATAGAGGAAGAGGATGAAGAAGAACCAATTTTGGATATTGACGAACATGATGCAAACAACCCTCTTGCAGTTGTTGAATATGTCCAAGATCTATACGAATTCTACCGTAAAAATGAGGTACTATTTTCTTATTAAAAGTTTCTGAAACCAAACTATTAGACTTTGAAGTTTTGTCTGATACATTTTGGTAATCTGCAGAGATTTAGTTGTGTTCCTTTAGATTACATGGCGCAACAGTTTGATATAACCGATAAAATGAGAGCAATTCTTATTGATTGGCTCATCGAGGTACGTGTAATCAACAATACTCAAACATCTTTCTTTTTGAAACTCAATGGTTATTGATTAAGAGGGATGTTGAATGTTGCAGGTACATGACAAATTTGAGCTAATGAACGAGACATTGTATCTAACAGTGAATCTGATAGATAGATTCTTGTCCAAGCAAGCTGTTGCAAGAAAGAAGCTTCAGCTTGTTGGTTTAGTTGCATTGCTCTTAGCTTGCAAGTACGAAGAGGTTTCTGTACCTATCGTTGAAGATTTAGTCGTCATTTCCGACAAAGCTTATACACGGCAAGATGTTTTAGAAATGGTATAGAAATCTTTCTTTGCTTTTGTTTGCAAAACTTTGGAAAAATGATTTACATTTTCATCTGATTTTAATAAACCTCTCTGTGTGCAGGAGAAGATTATGCTTAATACACTGCAGTTCAACATGTCGTTACCTACACAATACCCTTTCTTGAAGAGGTTCCTCAAGGCAGCTCAATCAGACAAGAAGGTAAAGAAATGACTTGTGAACAACATAAGACTCATCAAACACTATGTGAATCGCTGAAACTATCTTTGTTTTGCTGAAACAGCTTGAGATATTGGCATCGTTCTTGATGGAGCTTGCTCTTGTGGACTACGAGATGCTAAGGCATCCACCATCGCTACTAGCCGCGAGTGCAGTGTACACAGCTCAATGTACAATCCATGGCTTCAACGAATGGAGCAGCACTTGCGAATTCCACAGTCACTACTCTGAACATCAACTCCTGTAAGTCTTTTTGTCTCATAACACACAAAAACGTTACACCTTTTAATTAAAAAGCTGATCTCTTTTTTTTTTTTTTAATTGAATTTGCATGTTTTGTGGTTTATGCAGAGAATGTAGTAGAAGAATGGTGAGTCTGCATCAAAAGGCAGCGACAGATAAACTAACAGGAGTACATAGAAAATACAGCTCCTCTAAATTCGGATACATAGCCAGAAAATACGAAGCTGCACACTTTCTCGTGTCGGAATCTCACAAGCTATAGCGCAAGATTGGCAAAAATAAATCACTTTCTTGTGTACAGCTCCTGACATTTTTTCCCTTCTCATTTTCTTAATTACATAAAAGAAAAAAGAAACAAAATAAGTTCAAATTTCTTCTGAATTGATTTGTATTAGTCTCCTTTTGTTATTGATATCTCAGCAATAAACTCTCTAAAGAAACTTAAGTGATTAGTTTAATTACAAAATTCATTCTTTTCTCTACTAGAAATAATATTATTTCTTGGAATCTTTTTCCATTAGACACAGATTCTTTGAAATATTAATTAACTAAGATTGAGAGTTTCAATTTGAACTCTTTTTCTTCTAAGAACTGAATTAACACACATTGGAAATGAGTCAAATTGAACAAAAGAGCAGCCAAAACCAATGCCACCTAACACAAAAACGTTGTCGTTTAAGAATCTATTTTTATATTTCTCTCCCACCAAACTCTTTTTTTTCCAGATCTTTTAAAGCGAAATTGAGAATCTCAGATACTCACTCACTCACAACAATCATGGCGGCGTCGGCGAACTCTTTCCTCGTCGGAAACAATACTCAGATCCCATCTCTAAAACCCAAATCCACCTCTCAGTCTCTCCTCCACCTCAGCAAACCAAACACCGTAAACCTCGCCGGCAAAACCAAGCCCGTCTCCGTCAGATGCGTCGCCGCGACGACCCACGTTCAAGACGGAGCTAGATCCGGCTCCGTCGGCGGATCGCAAGAGCGCGTCTTCAACTTCGCGGCGGGTCCAGCCGCTCTGCCCGAGAACGTCCTCCTCAAAGCGCAGTCGGATCTGTACAACTGGCGTGGATCCGGGATGAGCGTGATGGAGATGAGCCACAGAGGGAAAGAGTTTCTCTCGATCATACAGAAAGCTGAATCGGATCTCCGTCAGCTCCTGGAGATTCCCTCGGAATTTTCCGTTCTGTTCTTACAAGGCGGTGCAACGACTCAATTCGCTGCTCTGCCTCTCAATCTCTGCAAACCGGAAGACACGGTCGATTTCGTCGTCACCGGATCGTGGGGAGATAAAGCTGCGAAGGAGGCGAAGAAGTATTGCAAAGCGAATGTGATTTGGTCAGGTAAATCTGAGAAATACACCAAAGTTCCACCTTTTGATGAATTGGAGCAGAGTTCGCACGCCAAGTATTTGCATATATGCGCCAATGAGACTATCCATGGAGTTGAATTCAAAGACTACCCTCTTCCTAAAAACGGTATCTTGGTGGCTGATATGTCTTCCAACTTCTGCTCGAAGCCGGTCGATGTGTCAAAGTTCGGTGTGATCTACGGCGGTGCGCAGAAGAACGTTGGTCCGTCCGGTGTCACGATTGTGATCGTTCGGAAAGATTTGATCGGAAACGCTCAGGAGATCACTCCGGTGATGCTTGATTACAAGATCCACGACGAGAACAGCTCGCTGTACAACACGCCTCCTTGCTTCGGGATTTACATGTGCGGTCTCGTGTTTGAGGATCTGTTGGAGCAAGGTGGGTTGAGAGAAGTGGAGAAGAAGAACCAGAGGAAAGCTGATTTGCTTTACAATGCTATTGAAGGGAGCAATGGGTTTTTCAGGTGTCCTGTTGAGAAATCTGTGAGGTCGTTGATGAATGTGCCTTTCACGCTGGAGAAGTCTGAATTGGAAGGTGAGTTTATCAAGGAAGCTGCGAAAGAGAAGATGGTGCAGCTTAAAGGGCATAGATCGGTGGGAGGTATGAGAGCTTCTATCTACAATGCTATGCCTTTGGCTGGTGTTGAAAAGCTTGTTGCTTTCATGAAAGATTTCCAGGCCAAGCATGCTTAGTTTAGAGGAATTTGCTTTTTCTTCTTTTATTTGCATTTTTGCATTTTGATTGTGTTTGTTGGGTTGATAAGCTTTGATGCTTATGATTTGGTTTCTCTTTATCTCGGGAATTTTCCAGTAATAATGTTTAGCAATGTATCAAAATCTTTCTACATGAATTAGAAAGCAAGGTTTGTTAACAAAACAAGGAGCTGTTCTTATTTGTATTAGTGACTACTGATGATGGATTGATGATCTCATATTCTCTTTTATAATGTCACTCTTCTCTGCAACTCCTGAAACTGAAGACAAACTAAAAAGTGATCTTAAAGTTTGTGAACTCTGATTTTTAAAAGTAACAGAGTTCAGTGTAAGAAAGAAAGTTACCATTTGGTGTTGTCTCTCTATAAGCAACAGCTACATTTCGAAAGAACTCTTTGGTAGCATCTGCATATTCCATCAGCTATCACTACAAGAATCTGATAATGGAGAACAAAACCATAGTAAACTGTATGTCAGAATCAAGGCTCACCATGTTCCATTGTCAGAGAAGGATCTTGCTCATTAACAAACCCGATCACTTTCGCCGGATTTCCAGCCACCATGCTTCAGAAACCCCAAAAGAAAATGTCCATTTGAGAAATACTCAAACAGAAAAAACTCTAGAAAGGATGTTTCAGATGCATTTTTGGTTTCATACCTATGCGCAGGAACATCATTTAACACAAGCGAACCAGCAGCTACCATTGCTCCAGTTCCTATCCTAATGTTACCGAGTATAGTCACACATGCTCCAAGAAGAGCACCGTCGCCTATTTTTGGATGCCGGTCACCGGTGTCCTTCCCAGTTCCTCCTAATGTCACGCCCTGTAAAATCGAGACTCGGTCCCCAATCACAGCAGTCTCACCTATGACTACACCAGTTCCATGATCCAACAATATTCCCTCCCCAATTCTTGCCGCTGAGCAAAGCAATATAAGGTTAGTAAGATTAGAAATGTTAGAGCATAATCAAGAATATATGAAAACTGAAAGCTTACCCGGATGAATATCGATTCCAAAAACCTGAAAGAAACCACTGACATGGATCAGAGATTGTACTCCAAGAAGACTATAACTATAACAAAGAATCTGTGGAAGCTACACACCCTACCTCGCTTACTCGGCTTTGCAATGCCGATGCTAGTAGTTTTCGTCCTTGCTTCCACAACTTATGTGCAACTCTATACGCCTGCAGCGCAAGATAGCCCTGTGGAACAAACTATTCTAGTAAAATACACATGAAAACTCTGTATCAATCGTTTTATACGAGCACAACTACTAGATGTTAGTTAATTGTCTTTGAATAACTTGATAAAGAAGTACCTTGAGGTGCAAAATAGCTGAACTATATGATAAACAAGCAGGATCTCTGTCTTTAAATGCCTACAAAAAAAACCATTGCAGTCATATTTTAAGACAAAACTGTCAGAAACAAACGTTTTCATTCACGGATAGAGAGTAAGCGTTTTTACCTGAAGATCAAGGCGAATGGAGCTTCGAATACCTCTGTCGTGTACAATAACATTGCAAAATATAACCATGAGTTGAGTAGCCAACAAGGTAGGGTTCTGGAGACGGTTAGCCAGAACAAAACCCAATGCTTTCTCTAAACAGTCATGCGACAAGATACTCGCATACAAGAAACTGCTCAAAATCGGTTCCTTTTCTGCCTGTAAAACACAAAACAACATTCACCATTGTAGAAACATAAAGCACAAGCAATGATCCTAATTCTTGTCCTTTGTGATCTATTTGTAGACTTGTAGTCAATGAAAAATTATCAGAAAAATGATATTTAAACATCATCAAGGCCTAAAAATGATTATATAGTAGACTGATGAGATTAAGACGTAACATCAAGGAACATCTAAAAGGTTTCGTTAAGTAGTTAAAGAGACAAAGATCACATATTGTAATCACTTGACCCCACTGTTATGTTAGATAATAATACAAAAGGCAGACAAAAATGTCTATATCATATAACAAAATCAATGTTTTACTAACAAAATCAATGTTTCTACTTTTTTTTTAACCTTAATAAGAATGTGATTATAGAGCAGAAAGAGAAAAACCTCAAGCTTAGCTTCTTGTCTTATGGTGTTCCAAATTGGGTCATAACCAGAATTGGTAAAATCCAGCAAAACCCGGTTGGGCTCGGGATTAAGGGTTCCTTTAGCATAAACCGGGAAAACCCTCTCGAAAGGAAACTCGTCGCCGGACTTCCCGTCGTCTCCGACAGAAAATTTCCGAGAGGCAATCACCGGAAGAGAAGACGACGATGAATAAAAATGAGAGTTCTCGTCGTTTATACAAGCCATGACTGAAGGGAAGCAAAAGCAATTAAAGAGTAGTAGAGAGGCTTACATATTTATTAAAAGAAAGAAAAAGTAGAGAAGCTTATAAAAAAGTGAACTAAATTTCATGGAAATGACAGAAAAGTGAGAAACCCTTATTCCCCTTTTTAAACACAATGAACTAAATTCTCTTTATGTGTTGGATTCGAAGTAGCGACAATCTGATGACAAAAGAAAGACGTTTAAAGTGAAGTCGTGTGTTGGTGTCCACACCATTTTCGAAAAGGTGGGCTCTTTCTCCTTCTCTCTCTTCACTTTGTTTGCTCTTGGTTGCGTGCGACCGTGATTCAGTCCAAGTTCGTAATATCATTTCAAGAGAATCCAAAAATTGGAAGTATTATCATTAAAAAATTACTTTTTAATCGTACCACACGAAGTCGACGTGAACGTTATTAGACAAAACATTTACTTAAGTTCACAGCATCAAAACAGATAGTTTTTTTTTTTTTTTTCCTCTACAAAACAGATAGTTTATAATATAAAAGTACTACGTAAAACAATTTATGTCAAAACACTGAAAGGATGAGAATAATATAAAATACACATTATTTTCAATCCTAGATTAATTGAATTGTTTCTCTTAATGTAAAATCTGTGCATTAGAGACTAAACATAGATGAAAACTTTAAAATAACACCAAAATAAGTTTTTGTTTCAAAAATACTATAAGTACTTTTATTTTTCCAAAAGTACCAGTAAATGGTTTTTTTTTTCCAAAAATATCAAAAACAATATAAATTATTTCGTTATAATTGAAATATTTGGATTTGGGTTTAGTACAGTATTTGGGATTAAAGATTCAGTTTTAGGGTTTATGGTTTATTTCAGAGGGATAAAGGTTTAGTTTAGAGGATTTAAAGTTGTAAAGTTTAGTATTTGTGGTATTTTTGGGAGAATAATTTTTTTGTGGTATTTTTGGAAAAATAGTTTTCTGTGACATTTGTGGGAACTTTGTTTTTGTGGTACTTTGGAAAATAAGATCACTGATAATGGTAGTTTTGGAATTTAAATTTATTTTGTTCGTATTAGATAGAAATGTCTTGCAATTAGTTGTTACAAAAAATAAATGTCTTGCACTTTGAAAATATAATTTTACGGAAAAAAAAAGGTCCAAAAATATAATGAAAACGAAGGAGAAGGAATGAAGCTGACAAAGCAAAGGCATCGTCGCATGAAATAAAAAGAAATGAAAACCTGAACGCCGCATGCAATCGCCGTAAACGAAAAACAAACCAACGTCCTCCTCCTAATCGCCGATCTCCTGAATCCCCGATATCTCTCAATCTTACCCATGGCGAGAAGATCCGGATCGATCCTCAGCCGCCTTCTGGCGAATCCACCTCCTTCTCCATTCACCGCCCCGACCCGATCCATCACCTACATGCCTCGACCCGGCGACGGAGCCCCACGCACCGTAACCCTGATCCCCGGCGACGGAATCGGACCCTTAGTGACCGGAGCCGTCGAGCAGGTCATGGAGGCGATGCACGCGCCGGTGCATTTCGAGCGATACGAGGTTCGCGGCAACATGAGGAAAGTCCCCGAGGAAGTAATCGAATCCGTCAAGAGGAACAAGGTCTGCCTCAAAGGTGGATTAGCGACTCCCGTTGGTGGAGGAGTCAGCTCCTTGAATATGCAATTGAGGAAAGAGCTCGACATCTTCGCTTCCCTCGTCAATTGCATCAACGTCCCTGGATTGGTGACGCGTCACGAGAACGTCGACATCGTCGTCATCAGAGAGAACACTGAAGGAGAGTACTCGGGACTCGAGCACGAGGTTGTTCCTGGTGTCGTCGAGAGCCTTAAGGTAAACCCAAATTTCAATACTTTGTGATCTGTGATGATTGAAAGGAGCTCGCTTTAGTCAAAAGGAGCTTGCTTTAGTCACTTTTTCGTTGGATCATTGTTTCTGATCTGTGATGATTGAAAGGAGCTTGCTTTAGTCAAAATTGTGATGATCTTGTTGGTAATTTAGGTGATAACGAAGTTTTGTTCAGAGAGGATTGCGAGATATGCGTTTGAGTATGCCTACTTGAACAATAGGAAGAAAGTGACTGCTGTTCATAAAGCCAACATTATGAAGCTTGCGGATGGTTTGTTCTTGGAGTCTTGCAGAGAGGTTGCTAAAAACTATCCTGCGATTACGTACAACGAAATCATCGTTGACAATTGCTGTATGCAGCTTGTTGCTAAGCCTGAGCAATTTGATGTCATGGTATGTGTTTTTGTTCTTTTTCCGTGTTAAAAATCCAAACTTTGAGGAGGAAAACAGAGTAAATGACATATCTTTCTTCTAAAATGTGAAAAACAAACCTACCATTTGTTTGTTTCAGGTGACGCCTAATTTGTATGGTAACCTTGTAGCAAACACAGCAGCTGGAATAGCCGGAGGCACTGGAGTGATGCCAGGAGGTTTGTCCATAGTTATAACCTGATATCATCTGCTGGTTTCTTGAATTTGGCTCTGAGAAATGACATGTATTGGGGTTTGTTGTTGTTGTTGTTGGTAAAGGCAATGTAGGTGCGGAACATGCGATATTCGAGCAAGGAGCATCAGCAGGGAATGTGGGGAATGATAAGATGGTGGAGCAGAAGAAAGCTAATCCGGTGGCTTTACTTCTCTCATCGGCTATGATGCTTAGGCATCTCAGGTTTCCGACTTTTGCTGATCGGCTTGAGACCGCAGTGAAGCAAGTGATACAAGAAGGCAAATGGCGAACGAAGGATCTTGGAGGAGACTGCACTACGCAGGAAGTTGTTGATGCTGTCATTAAAGCTCTCGAGTGAAGTCAAGCCATGTGAGCCTGCCTTGTTCTTCTTCTTTTTAAAGTAAACTAAGAGAAAAGTTTTGGTTTCTCTGTTTTCCATTACTATTGTCTTGGCTTGATTGATTTTATTTATTCAATTTTTGTCTTTTGATTTAACATTCGACCTCGCGTTAGAGCATTGATAAGCTCTATGGCTACGGAATAAAATCAATAAAGAGAAGATATTTTGTTATATTTGTTTGCATCAAAAATGGGTAAAAACACCAATCAAATAACTTGTTTCACAAGGCAAGAGTAATCTTGGCTATTTTAAAAAGTGGTTTAACTTTAGATTTACGGATACTCGCTGGACCAGATAGATAAAGCATATAAAGAACCAAAGATGACAAATTGACAATAGACACCGTATAAGACAACAGAGCAGCTATGAATGCAACCATTTTGCTATATTAAGGGTTTTACAGGGAACGGCGCGTAAAGACCAACGATTTTGTACCTCAGATATATTAAGAAGAAAGCTAAAAGGATCAATCTTTCCGTGTCTCATACGAGTACAATCCGTAGGAACATTTCACAACACAATTTCTAACTTCTCTGTTTTTTTCCTCTGTTTCCGCCTCATTGAAGTCTCTCAACTATAAAATACATCCGGACTCCATCATACTTTTGATTCAATAACAACGATCTCTGAAGAAATTTATTGGAGAGTAAGAAGAAAACAAAAACAAAAATTTATATTTGAGAAAGTTTGCTCTGTTTTCTTGATTGTGAAGATTGAAATGGCATCGAATAGCGACGCAAGGCCTCTACCGAAATTCGGGGATTGGGATGTGAATGATCCGGCGACGGCTGAGGGATTCACCGTTATATTTAGCAAAGCCGGAGAGGATAAGAAAACGGGTCGGAGCACCAGCAAAACAACTTCGCAGAGGAAACAAGACGCTAAACCAGCGGTCAAGAAATGGCTCTGTTTTACCTTTTCATGATTTTGGTGTTTGATTTAAATTAACCGTTTGAGAATAGCATTGAGAAACTTTTGTCGTAGAGCTTTTTCCATTTGTTTAGCATTTCTCTTTATAATATGCAGAGTTATTTATATTTTGAAATGTTGAAGAGAAGAAAAATTGATAGCCTGCCTCTTGTATATCCTTGTTTGATGTTTGTTTCATTTGAAGTTTAATACAAGATTTTGGAAACTCTTCTTGTTACGATTCAGACAAAGAAACTTTCTTGCAATACCCTCCTCTAGAATATCTCATATTTCTCTATGTAGTTACAAACGAAGAGAAACTTGCATTACAAGAAATCGCTCTTTTGCTCCAAAGTGGATGAATCAGGACTTATTCATCAATAATGTCTTGTGTATATAAGCAAATCTCACCACAAACGTTTGAAATATGATATGCTCTTTGGTAAATCAGACAACAACATCTGATCAAGGATTGTTCTGTTTTTTTTTTCTCGTTTGTGAAGCAAAGGTAAGTGATACGGTAATCTCCGTTGATTACTTTGTCATAAGGAAAAAATACTAAGTAGCCAAGTGCAGAGTATTGTGAGATTTCAGTGAAATTAGATTGCTAATCATTGAGAGCCTGAAGAAAGGACAATGTTCAAGGGATCAATTAGAGAAGATTTGCAAAGGACAAGTGGTCAACATTGTGGTAATACTCTATTCATTTTGATGACTCCCTTCGAATCATTTGGAAGAATAAATTCCTTCTTTTTTGTTTATTCCTCCTCTCTTCTGTCATGTTATCTACATATTTGTATATTACAACTTCTGTCTCCTTGTCTCCTATTAAGATAATAGGAAGGCTACAGAAATAAATGCACACATGAGTAGGAAATGAATCGTACCATGACCTTATTGAACAAGATTCTCCTACTAACCCATTATTATTTAAGACCCTAGATTCTTGGACCTATAATGGCTTAATGTTTTTGTGCCTATATTTGTTTTAAATGTTTAAATCTCTCCTTGGAAAACGTTTCTCTGAGCTGTCGTGTTTTTTTCTTGATCAAACAGATTTTTGAGTTTGACAGCAATGATGAAAGAGGGCAAAAGAGACAAGAAAGGAGACAAGATAAGCATAATAATCAAGAGAGCTTGACGTTGTTGGTTTCATGACCACATAGAGATGATTAAATTAAGCCAAAGGGGATAATTGTGCAAAGATCCTCACTTTATTAGGTTTCGACACATGCCCAAATTGCTCTTACGTTAGAATATTTTAAAAGGTTCTTTTGGATTTGTCTGTAAAACGTTCCTCGCTATTATATAATCGTTGGAGTCTCTGAACCTTAACCAACCAAAACTCATTTCAAAGTTTTTACAGCTCTCTTTCTTCTTTCTTCTTTCTCTTTAGAGCTAGAAACAAAAATGTCAGAATCATCTTCCTCTTCGCATGTACCAAGTAGGTCTATTAGCTTGCCTACAAGACTAATACATCCAAAAGCACAGAGAGTTGAAGAAGAGCTAAAGAAGATTCAAGATTTAAACTCTTCTTCATCTGCTTCTTCTAGAATTCATCTAGGGCTTTCCCGGCTCGTCGAGCTCTATGACTTTGTCAATGAACAAGTCATATGTTCTCCACAAGGCCAACAAGCTCTTCGTCCTTCTCACAACGCTAAACTCGTGGAAGATGCTCTTGATGACTCAGTCTTGTTACTTGATGTAACTGATATCACAAGAGACTTGATAGGGACATTCGTGGAGCAAATCCAAGATCTTCAATCCACTCTACGTAGACGCGGAGGAGATCTCTCGATCATCCAATCCGACATCCGTGCTTACATTAGCTTTCAGAAGAAATTCAAGAACGCAGCAGTTAGACAACTTAAAGCCCTTGCAAGAACACAAGCAAAGAAGAAATCTCCGGTTGTTAAACGATCCGGTGATCTCGATCAACATTCTTCTATGGTTTCCAACATTCTAAGGCAATCAAACATGTCGACGATCTCTGTTTTAAAGTCACTCTTGCAGTTTCTTTCTTCTTCTAGTAAGAGCCAGAAGAAGAATGGTGAAATCGGATGTGTAGAGAACTCGATGATCCGTTCTTTCTACGGAAGAATCGTCGGTAAGAAGATTGTGAGGGTCATTGAATCGAAAACGATGCTCGGGAGATTAGCAATGCTTAATGTGAGTTTTGAAGCAATTAAGGATGAGTTATGTTACTTATCAAGACGACTTATTCAACATAGAGTGTCTCTTTTGAACATTGTTACTCCATGAAGACAATAAGAAAACAAGAGTTTGTATATTTTGTGAAAAGCCAAGTTTTGTAGAGATGAGTTATTATAGAATCGCGCATTTGACTCTCCATTTTCATTATAGTTTTTTGTATCTTGGATGATTTACATCACATGATCCGGTAAAGAGTTATAAGTTGAATTAAACCGTATCAAACCGGATTATAAAAAGAACATCAAATTGGAGACTGTTTACATTATTCTTAAACCTTTGTGGTGCATCATCACCATCATCACATCCTGAAGTGAGCTGAAAAAAGCTTACCAAACTCTTTATTTCTTGGTTCTTGTTATGCCAACGAGTCATTTGTCCAAGTTATATGGTTTCAACTTTCAAGTTTGGAAATATACACTATGGTGAGATTTTATTTTGAAAAATATCCTCCTTTTTTTTTTAAACTACACTTTTTATAAAGTGAAATGACTAAATTATCATACTTTGAATATCTGATTAACTTAATTAAACGAAACTAAAATAATAAATACATAAGATTTTATTTGATTTTGATTTTGTCTCATTTTAAGATGATAAACTAGTTATCTGTATAAATTTTATTAAAATTTATATATTTGTTTTTGAACCAATAGTTTGATGAAAAGTAGATTAATATAGGTACGAGATTAAACTCATTTATATAAGACTCCAAAATAGTTAATTTTCTTTAAAGATAAACTTTTAACAAAAGATAGATTTATATACTTTTATTTTTTCAATAATTAACATATAATAATATTAATAAAATTGACATATTTAAATAAGATGAAAAATTCTTTTTACATATTTAAATTTAAATTATCTATTATTGCTATGTTTAAATAAGGTCAAAAAGTCTTTTTACATATTAAAAAATGTAGTTTTCAAAACCATAAAAAAACTAGGGTGTTTTTCAAATATTAATTCCTAATTAAGGCATTATGCCAAGAATCTCCATAAATTAAAGGCATTTATAAGCAACTGATAAACTAAACTAAATCAAGTAAATACGCTATTATGAAGCAAGTCCAGTTATCCATTTTATCAACAGATTTGAGTACAATTTAGGAAAAAGCGGTTATGATTAAGTCAGATTCAACATTTTGTGTGTGTTTGACTTCATTGTATTCAACACTTTATAAAACGGAGATGTATAGTTTCATGGATTCAAATACTAGAAAAAAAATAGCTAATAACTAAGGAAACAAAGGATTTGGGCACAATTTAGATATATGGAAGATACGCATCATTATATTGTGTATATAAATGTGATGAAACACATACCACCTACACTACCTAGAACATATACATTCAATAGATAATTATCATCGTCATTTCACAATGGTACATATCAAATATTTTATAATGATTTTCTTGATAATATTATATGTGTTTAGTCTAACGTTTGTTTCTTTTGTGTTTCTAGGAAAGGATTCTACGTCTCTCGATCTTAATACTTCTCTTTTGTTCTAATCTTGTAAACGGCGAAAACTATAACGTACTCGATTTTGGTGCAAAAGGAGATGGTCAAACTGATGATTCAAAAGTATAATATCATGTTTAATCAAATACATTTATATGTTTCTTTCTAAAACTTGTTAAACAACTATTTTTTCATACGTTTTTATTCTTTAATTAAATTTTGTAATTGTAAAACAGGCTTTTATAGATACGTGGAACACTGCATGTCAGGGGCGGAGCCAATAAGGCATTTAGGTGGTCTAATGACCCCCAATTAATTCTTAAATTTTATTGAATTTAGGTATATAATTATAATTTAAAATGATTATTTAGTTAGTTTTTAATGATTTTGACCCCTATTAGTTATAAATTTCCAAATTTTGACCCTGTTATATATTTTTTCTAGATCCGCCCCTGCTGCATGTGGTGGGGAAGAAGGCATACAAGCACTTTTTATACCTGCTGGCAAAACATTTTTACTTCAGCCTATACAATTCCAAGGTCCATGTAAATCTAATGCTATAGAAGTTCAGGTATGTAGACGACTAATTTACAACTTAATTTATCAGATAGATACAACTATGTTTAATCTTTTGAATATTTGAAGTTGGATGGCATCATTGTCGCACCTAGCAGCATGGAAGCATGGTCCGACCCCAAGTCTCCAATGTGGATTAGTTTTTCAAACGTAGTTGGACTATCGATAATTGGCTTGGGAACGATTAATGGTGGTGGTTCGCCCTTTTGGGAGGTAACAGTTTTTTATATCATAATTTTCCAATACTTTATATATATATATATCATCGTAACATCAGTATCATGGGGTTTTTTTTTTTTTTTTTTTTTTTTTTCTTTTTTTCCAGCAAAAACTAAAAGCTTCTGAACGGCCAGCAGTGAGTATATCTACTAAATTTATTGTGATATATTTTTTCTTTTTTTGAAGATTTTTTTATCGGCTATGATTGATTGCTATTAAACGTTTTTCTTGCAGGCATTACATATTAACAAATGTGATAACCTCAAGATAAACGGGATAACCTCGATCGATAGTCCAAGACACCATATATCAATCAATTCATGCAATGGTGCTGCAATATCGCAAATAAATCTCTTTGCACCCGAGGACAGTCCCAACACCGATGGGATTGATCTAAGTGACTCGACAAATATCAACATATTTGACTCTAAAATTAAAACTGGTGTGCACACTTAACTACACTTATAGAATATAAAGGATGGCATAGCAATCATTTGAGTTTCAATCATTAATTTTCCAGGGGACGATTGCATAGCAATCAACACAGGAAGTATCAATATCAACATCACAAATATTAACTGTGGACCTGGTCATGGAATAAGGTAAATTGTGATATTAATTAATTTATTGGATTACATGTCACCATTTATAATGAAAAGAAAGGTTTTCTTTGCAAACAGAAAAAGATCGAGGAAAATTCACTAATTTAAAAATAATTGATCAACAGTGTGGGAAGCCTAGGAGCTAATGGAGAAACAGCGACAGTTAGTAATGTTCAAGTGACTCACTGCACTTTCAATCAGACGTTGAATGGAGCTAGGATCAAGACATGGCCGGTATGTTTTCTGTCTTTTATACTGTTTTCTCTTAGATTAAATATAATAATATCAAAATATTTAAATATTTTTTATATGTATAACTTTAATTTAAAATTTTAAGGGTGGACAAGGATATGCAAGAAACATAAGTTTTGAGGACATCACACTCATAAACTCAAAAAATCCAATTGTAATCGACCAGAATTATAGAGACAAAGGACTTCTTGATGGCACAGAGGTAAATCTTAATTTATAGCTTTAATAATATACATATGTACATGTACATATACAGTATGACTAAATTGAGCATAATGTATGTGCTTTGTTCAATAGGAATCAGCAGTGGCGATTAGCAGTATAAAATTTATCGGTTTTAATGGAACAACGTCAAGCAAAAATGCTATAGCGCTTAATTGTAGTGAAATTACACGATGCACAGACGTCATCATGGACGGAATCGATATTTCTACTTCTACGGGGAATGGAGAAAAACCCACAGTTGAATGTCAATATGTTGATGGAACGTCTAGCGATCTTAATTTGATGCAGGAGTGTTTCCAAAATAGCACGATTGCTTAATTGAAAAAAAAAATGTCAACAGAAATTCTACCCACATTTTGTCTGTTATAGAATGATTTTTTTTTCTTTCAACAAAATGGAATGTTACTGTCAAATCAGTATATATATAGGTTGAGATTTCTTTACCCAAAAACACAACTAATACAAAAAATATGTTATATACATTCATGATAATGTAATTCGGTTTTGTGGGAACCCATAATTGCTTTCATAAGTCATAACAAATCGTTTTGTTATAGAGAAAAATATTTGCTTCTATAATTAATTAGTTTTAAATCTTAAAATTTTGTTTCTTTTTTTATGCGTAATTTTGTGAAAGATTACCACATATCATAATCTCCTAATACCAAATAAACCTGTGTATTGCTTTAAAATTAATTATTTTGTCCAGCATTTTAATAAGAAGGATATATATAAGATCATGTATAGAAAAACCAGAAAAAGAATATAACTAGTATTTAAGCTAGGAACAATTTAGGCACAATCTAGATATATGGAAGGTGTACAATGTGCATGATTCAGATACGTAGATGCACATCACTGTGTATATATACCTGATAAAAGAGTACTGTACATACAGATCAATAGATTATCATCGTCACCATTTCACCATGGTACATATCAAGTTAATCATTTCTTGATAATATTTCTTTATCTCTTCTGTTTATTCTAACATTTTATTTTCTTTCTTTTACAAAAAAAAAAAAACATTTTATTTTCTTTGTGTCTTTTAGGCCATCGTCAAATTCTGTATTTCGATCTTGATAAGTTTCCTCTGTTTTGCTCTTGTAAACGGTCAAAACTACAACGTACTCAATTTTGGTGCTAAAGGAGATGGTCAAACTGATGATTCAAAGGTAAATTATGTTTTCATTTCCTTTTGTCTTTATAGCAAAACATATATCATTTTTATCGAATACATGTATCTTTGTCAAAAGTAATTAAATAATAACTTTTCAATTTTCATAAGCCATTTAATTAACGTTTTCAATTGCTTGTGTAAAACAGGCGTTTGTGAAAACGTGGAGCGCTGCATGTGGCGGGGGAGAAGATATAAAAACACTTCTTATTCCTGCTGGCAAAACCTTTTTACTCCAACCTATCGTGTTCCAAGGACCATGTAGATCTAAATCTATTAAAGTTCAGGTATGTATAATGTACAAACTTATCTGATAAATA